TGTAGATCTTTTTGAGGTAGGAAAGATTAATGTTCCACAAATAGAAAATATTACATCATTGAATTCTGGAACTTTGTAGTCATCATCCTCACTACCATCTTCATTATGGTAGCTAAAATTCATGGAGCTTAGTTTTTATGTGTTATAAATACAACTTTTATTTTTTATGACTGGAATGCTCATCTGATTAAAAGTATCATCATCATCATTGTCCCCATTTTGGAAATATGAAAGCCCAAATTACAGAATTTTATTGATAGCCTAAATTTCATACCCTCATATAGAACGAGCCTGACTGGTCATCTGTCTGTGTCTTTCATCTGTGTGTGCTGATCATCATTTGTCCACCTGGGAGCCTGCCTTCTAGTCAGGCAGCTGGGCTTCACCCCTCTGGGATACATTCCTCACAGCTTCAACAGCCTAAGATAGATAGTCAGGACTTTATAGGTTGCAATTACCTTTCAGATCATTTGGGCTTTTAAAATAAATGGTGACACAAGAATTTGGACACTTTCATTTATTGTGTAATGTAATAAAACTAGAGATGTGGGCTAATCAAACACTCTGGGGTTGAGTACGTGTGTAAATTAAAGAGACCACTGTAGAATTTTCTCTTGAAACATTCAGTCCCATCTAATATTTTGATAGGCTTAATACCAAAAATTTTAGTGCATAGAGTAGATTAATACAGCCCATCTCTGACATCATTTTTCTAACATGTCTCAATAGCTGAAGCTTTTATTTTAGTTTTACTGGCTTTCTTTCTTCATAGACTCACTTCCATTATTCTTTGGAGATTTGCCTGTTGTAAATTAAACTTGAACTCTGGGTAACTGATAATTGTTGAGGTGACAGTTTCCAGTAACTGAGTTCTGCTGGGAAGAAAATTCTTAGGACTTTTTAAAATAGGTTGACCCTGTGGCTTTGGAAAACTCTTAATTGAAGAAAAGTATTTTAGTATTCAACAAACGAGACAAAACAAATTATAAAACAGATTAGCAAAAGTCAGAAACATAGTGTAAAGTTGTGAACTAATGGCTTATATGGAACAAATATGTAGTATATTTTAAATAATCCAAATTTACTTAAAATTAAGGTTATTTTTGAAACAAGTAGTCCAGACTCATATACTTTGAATTATTGGAATTATTATGTTCAGAGAAAAAAATATTTTTAAACAACTAAGAGTAAACTATATAAATTTACAACTAATAATGACTGATTTTTAAAATTTGCCTAATCTTATCTACCCCCAAATTATTGTTACTTCAGTGAATATACTTTTACACCTAAGGGTGAGTTGAGAGTTACAAGATTTTTGTATTCTCTAGGAATAACAGAGCATGTGGATGCTATAAGTGTAATAAATGTCCTTACATTTTGCCTAATTTTTTTTACTTAACTCCAGCAAGCAAATGTACTTTAAAAAAAAGATTAGATATTTACTCTAAGTATAATGAAACTACCCAAATTCCAAAGTGTGAGATGACTATAAGTCCAGCTTCAGTCTGCTCTTCCTAAATATCATAATGAACTGACAGAGTTCAATACAGAGAAGAGAACATGTCTCTCGTCTCTGTAAAATGAGAAACTACTCATTTTGTTTATTCAATTTCCTTTCATTTAATATTTCCATTTATGTGTACAGTATTATAATAGATACTAAGTTGTACAATCTTGGAATTCTTTTATCCCAATTCGATATTTATTCAATGCTGTTTTCCCACATTACCTCTCTTAAAGCCCTGGGCTCTGCGCATTATGAAAAATATATGTGAAAGCCATTTATAATGGATCATGTATGTCTAATACGTGACCCTGTGATGAAAACTTCACAGAAATACACCCTTTAAAATAAGAGCCAATTTAAAATCACACTAGCTGAGAAACTTATAACTGAATATGAATATTTCACTTGGAAATTCCCAGTGTGCTTTTGTTATATGATTATAAATGTTCTACTAGACATGAACTAAATAAATTTCCCTCAGCAGAAGTTGAGTCTGCCATGATATAGGCATAGTATAAAGTAGGTAGTTTATACTTGAAAGTTCAGATAAAATATTCAGCTTGTGTGACTGACTACTGATTTAGTGTTTTGAGATGTTTTATATATCTTTTTATTTTTGTACAGAACAATACAAATGCACTAAAAAAGCTCTACATTTATACCCCATCTTTGAGATTAAATTCACCTAAATTTTAAATTGTGCATATTTCAAGGGTCGACTTTATTTCCCATTTCTCCAAAATTATGGATAAATAAGAATTACAAATTTAAAGAAGTGGAAAGCATCTGAAGGTGGAAATAATAGTCATCTCTGGCTTTGGGCATCTAAATTTTCAGAGTTCAGTAGTTCATTGACTGCTCCACAGGGTGGCAGTAATATAGTACACTTCAGGAGAAATAAAGCCATTTGTAATTCCAAGTGAAAAATCAGTGCACGCAGATTTTTCTAAATTTTGCCAATCTATTATCTACATGCACTATAAAATATGTAATGTAATTTTTTATGAAATCAGTGGACTTAAAGTTTTTAACTACATAATTACCTAACATGTATTAACAAAGATGAATTTAGCTAAGACTCAGCACCTGGGAATGAAATATTTGTGTATTGATTTTCATGGTGGTATAAAGAATGTGTGTAAGGCACTATTGTAGATGCCAAGTTTTGAGTGACATACACTTAACTTTTTCTCAAATATATATTTATAGCTGGGTGTTGTAGTGCACCCCAGTAATCCCAGTGACTCAGGAGGCTGATGAAGATGATTTCAAATTTAAGACTAACCTAGACAACTTGGGGAGACTCTGTCTTWAAAARTCAAATGGGCTGGGCATATAGTCAGTGGTACCTACCTAGCATGTAAGAAGTCATGGTTCAATTTCCAGTAATAAAAGTATACATATATTTAATAAAATAATATCAGAAAGTTCTAAGATAATCTATAGTTTATAAAAAATTTAAGTCTATATGTATGTATGTGTATATATAAACTTGAGGAAAAATAAACAGATATGATAGATTTTGTAAATATTTTAATGGTAAGACAGTTGCAAACATTATAAGAAAAGAGTAAATTTTTATTCTTAAGATTCTTAGTATCTACTGGGAGAATTTTTTTCAGAAAAATGGTTATTAAAAAGTCTGCAGCAAGGTAAGTGAAAAATTGAGAAAAGAGGTAAAAGTTGAACACATATAATAAGCAAGGCAGTCRATCAGCTAACGATTGGCTTACATTTAAATGTCTAGTTAACATCTAAATCACCAAGAACCTATGTGAGAAAAAGAACAAAGGGGGGTACAATTTAGGATGCTTAAAATTTTGTAATTAAATATGACTGGATAGACACCCAGCTCTGATCCCAWATTCCTTAATTTTGACAACTTCTGAAGGCTCCATGTAGGCAAACATATGAGGGTTAGGTGAAACTTTTGTAATAAAACAAAGCAATCAGTCTTTTTCTACTGGATATTTTTTAAAAGTTAAATGTTTATTTGGACTATTTGAATGATAACATTTATCAAAATAATCTCACAGTGGGAGTCTAAGTGTATAGCCTTTCAGTTATTAGAAGTGCTTACCTTCCATAGACATAGACATAATTCACTTAGTCATACTCATTTAATTCTTTAAACTGAAAAGTATCTTGTGAAAGATATTTCACCACAACACTATTGTGGTTACAGTAGACACAGCTAGTGGTGACAACTAGACACAGCTGTGCTTTGTTTGAACATCTGAAACTTGACTTACCAACCTTACTTATGAAGGACATAACCAAGTGCTCTCTGAAGCATCTGGATTTTTTTCCCCTGTTCTGAATTCATGTGATGATTGTTTAAGGTATGGCAGTCAAATTGAATTAACAGTTAGGGTGGTCAGCCTGCTTTATAAAAACACTTCCCTTTCGGGGTAGGCTCAACTATGTAAGCAGTAACATGATTTTCAAATATATAGAGCCCCCTAAAATGACCCAATTGGAGAAATAAAGAAAATGAAATTATTGCACTTAGAGGGAGAATTCCTAAAGATAGAAGAAGGGCTAGAGAGAACATGTGTGCATGAGAGTGGGAAAGCCAGCATGGGYGAGTGTGAGCCTCCTCTACCTTTAACCTAAATCCAGTCATTTATCCTTATCATTTTGAGCTAATTAAAACTTAATCACTTCCTACATTACTAGCTAAGGCAAATCTGAATGACTTAAAGAGTGGCTCAGATAAAGCCTTAGCAAGAGAAACAGCAACATCCCAGTATGAATGTTGGGGGCAGGGATTATTAAGATGTCATCTGTGTGGCCAAGTCCAATAAAAGAAAAGAAACAGATGTGAAGTCTCTGAGATTTGTGCTCTGTAATCATGTACAAAAGATTAAGCAATTAGAAAATGTCAATTCAAATAGACAATTCACAGAAATTAGGAAAAGCTAGGAGCATATTTGCCTATTTATCTGTGTCAGCCATCTTTTCTAGAAAATAAGTCATATAATAACATCATAATTATATGTGTGCATCTTAAATAGTTCCATGCTGTGAAAGTAGCCAACACTGAGTTGACTTGCCTTAAGCAACTAAAAGTAACATGACCTTCTGTATACATTTTCCTACCTATGATATACGGAAATATTTTTTTGCCCTGACTCTCTCCATATGTGGGTGATATAACCAAGTGAGACAGGTTTAACCAGGTCAAATTGAGGTGGACCTGAAAGATGCATTCTCTACTAATGAAAGCTTAATCATGCTCCTGCCTGAGGACTGGGATATGATGCAGGACACCAAAGTGCTAATCTAAATTTGGCAATTGGAGTCTATGTTTATAGAAGGCTATGTGATTTCCCTCTGGGGCCCTCCTGAATTCTTTATTCGCTTAAATTTTTCTTGTCATATGAAATTAACTGGACAACTTTATTGTGTCTTGCTGTAGCTATTTTTATTTGCCATTCAATTACATTTTTTTCAAGCCTAATGGATACTTATTTTTCAATTCATCTAGGTACGAGTGTTCACATTTTCAGTTGGTCAACATAATTATGACAGAGGACCAATTCAGTGGATGGCTTGTGAAAATAAAGGTAATTATCTGTTTTCCTGACTATGTTTTATTAGAAGAAAAAAATGGGGGTGGTAGCTTTTTAAGTTTACATTGTCATATAAAATAATCTATAGTTGTACCTAACTCTTATAGGAATCAAAGCAATAAGATTTTTTTTTTTTTTGTGTGTGTGTGTATCAGAGATTTTACCCAGGAATGCTTCACTACTTACCTACATCCTCAGTATTTTATTTTGAGACAGGGTCTTGCTGAGTTGCTGAGGCTGGCCTTAAATCATGCAATTCTTCTGATTCAGCCTCCTTAATCACTGTGATTATATAGGAGTGCACAATAGCACCCAGCTCAAGGCAAAAAGATTTTGAACATTTTTTTATAGTGAAAACATAATACATTTTTGGCATTAGCATTATATTGTAAAAAAATTATGGAATCATAATATTGTAAATTCATAAAAGGATGTATTGAATAATAATGATATATAACAAATATAATTTTATATGGAAAAGTAGAAATAAAAGAATATCTGAATCTTATAAAACATATGACAGTGTGACACATGTGAGCCTGTTTTTGAGTTGCTAAATTACTGTTTTTTGAAAAATGTCTCATACATTCCTAGATAAATTTTRTGTAGTGAGCCCATATTTCTTTTGTGCCAGAAAAAAAAAATGTTATTTGAAAAATAAACTGTGATACCATAGCAACTAAAAGAACCTGAAGTATTCTGAAAGTTATATTTAGGCAAACATTTTATGTGTATGTGAATATGTGCATGGATATATATATATATATATATATATATATATATATCTTTAATAATATGCATAGTGAAAATATATTTCACTATGCCATTTTTCCTACTTCTTTATAGAAGAATATTTATTTTACACTATCTAAGAAATTCAGTAAAATTTCTCATGAAGCCTGTTCGTATGTTGCAAATATTCATTTATCAAACATCTTCTGAATTTGTCAGTTGTATGTATATTTCAGTGTTTGCTTAATTTAGCAGTGAAAAACATATCCTTTTATCCTACAAAGACATAAAACAATTTTGTCTATTATAATGAAATATTTATATGTATAAATACATATATGTATTTCAGGTTATTATTATGAAATTCCTTCAATTGGAGCAATAAGAATTAATACTCAGGTATGTTTATTTGAAACTCATTTATAATATTTTTTCAAAGTTTAAGATATTTTTCCAGTTTAAATATGCTCAATATAGAAAGAATAGATGAAAATGAAAAAAAAAAAACACAAAATGTTACATTTTTTACTAAAATGCTGAGTATCATAATGATGGATTTTTATTTCATTAAGGTTCCAAGTGTTTTCAAACATCYAAAACTCAGGTAAAAACATGAATAGAAATATGAATATGTTATTTTTCTCACCATAATGAATATAATCAAATTTACTAACAGTCTCATGTTATTGGAACTTGATTCTGTTGCAGATCACTTAAGTAAATTTCTTAACAATATAGAAGTTAAACAATAATTATTCTTGACAAATTATACAAGGCCATATTTATTTTCAAATAATCCCTAAAGATCTACTTACTGATTAAAATAGTTACAAGGAGACAAGTTTTCCAACTCATTCAATTGAAAACATGTACATTGAGTAATTTTTTGTAGGATTAGTAATGAAGTGAATTTAAATGTATATTATTTTCGATTCATAAATTATTGTTTAAAACCATCTCTCAATTTTAAACATAACTGAGAATCTACAAAATAGACTAAGTCACAATTTAGGATAAATAACACTGCCTTTGTGGAAATTAATACTGAATACATTGAATGTTGAAATGAAACAGCAGCTGCATTTGAGTCTCATGTCTAGATTTGGCACCATGTTTCATTTATTTTTTGATATGTTTAAATGTAGTTTTGAATTCCAGCCAAACAATCTGTGATATGAAAGCAAGTATGTGGCTGCTTTATTATTTCAAATTTGTGCAGTTTCACACAGTAAATCATAGTGCCTTAAATAGTTTAGATCAACATGAAACAATTCATAAGGCATGTATTTCACTTATCATAGGCTGTACCTTGAGAAACAATGTTCTGATTATTGTTGCTAGAAAAAATGGGGGTAGATATATTATGTAAATAAGTCAAATATTGTTGATTCAAAGTATGGAGACTTACCACTTATGAAATGCCCAAAATAGGATTAAATAATTCACTCTGTTAATAATTTGATTCCGTATTCATTTTTAACTCTAGATTATTTTCCCCCCTGTGGAAATTTGTTTTTTAAAGCACATAGCTTTTCTAGTTTTGAAGCATAGCTTTTTTTCCTCTTTCTTTCTTTTTTCCTTTCCTTCTTTCTCTTTTCTTTTCTTTTATAAATAGGAATATCTGGATGTTCTGGGGAGACCTATGGTTTTAGCAGGAGACAAAGCGAAGCAAGTCCAATGGACAAATGTTTACTTGGATGCACTGGTAAGAGATTGGATGTTAAACTAGACTGCCATTAAAAAAGAACTGACTATTCTTTTTTAGGGGACATTTCTCTTTTCCCGTTTAAGTTAAACTCTTTTGAAAATTCCTTCTATCACAAGCTTTTATAGCCAGAATTTAGATAATTTGAATAGAATTCTAGATTTGTATGTAATACGGAGCTACAAATGTAAAGTATTATTTTGTTTTGTAGTTAATTCATTGAGAATGAAGAATTTCCATCCTAGAATGTTGAATTTATAGAGATTTTCATAACTTGTTGAATTTTAATGTAAAAAAAATGCTCAATGCCATGTAAATGAAAACCTATTTCTAAAGATTTCAAATAAAGTATTTTTAAAGTAGATGTCAGCTAGTAGAAATGTACAACCTCAAATGTAATCAGACTCACCAATATTCAGAAGTACATTCTATTAGGCAAAAATCTTATCATACATTGAAATCATCACAGGCCTAATTACCTCTTCATATGTAATCTTATGCTTTAAATTCAAATCCAGACATTTTTAATGGAAATAGGATATTGGTGGTTGGTTCTGGTGTGAAAYAACATGCCAAAGATCCACAGAACAACTGACATATTAGAATAAGTATTCCACCACACTTTAAAGCAGTAGTTCTTAAATGGGGGTAATTTTGCCCTTCACAATTCATTTGGAAATATCTGTATATATATTTTTTGATGGTCAGGGCTGGAGAGTGAGTAACTGTTACTACTGGTCTTCACAGACAGAGGCTGGAGATGCTGCTAAACATTTTACAATGCACAGAACAGTCCCATTACGCACACATGCGCAAGAAAAAATTATCCAGCCCTAGATTTTGTAGGATCAAAGTCATGTTTTGATGTTATTTTTATTTTCCTAATATTCAATTTATAAAGATTTATAATACTTAAGATTTATTCATATGCTTAATCTTACTTTGAAGTCTTTATTCATGCTTTGCTGGAACAACCTACTGGGGAAAGCCAAAATACTAAGTCCTAAAAAGTAACTGCTGATTCAGTAGTACCCTTTCCCCTACTTGGAGTCCAATTATATGCTGTTACTTCTTTTTTCCATGCAATGTTGAACCCAAAGGGCAAAATACAATCCATTTAGAGTTACTTATCATTTGATTCTTATAAAGTAAACATATACAGGAAGTTAGAAGAAAAATAGGCACTATTAGCAGTGGCCTTGCACGCTAAGAAAGATAAAGTGAGGCTTGCTTACCTCAAGTCCTAGCTAAAATTACCACCCAATGTTCCTTCTTGACATCACTTGTTTACTTAAGGTCACATGGTCATCTAAAGCTATGGGCAAGATGTTTCACTTTTTTAAATCCATCCAAGACAGTGTATGATAGGAGGAGCCAATAATTATGCCCTGTTGCTTTCCTATGACCAGAAGTTCATTAACCAGAATGTCTGCATTGCTGGTAAGGTTCCTACTGATAGCACAAATGACATTAGAAGGAAATGTTAATTCTAAATGTCTGTTTACAAGTTGAAACTAAATGTAAAACAAGAAAAGAAATGGAACACACGAGTTGGCTATGCAGTGCACACAAATAGAACTTTTTTTTTTTCTGGTTTCAGAATAAGGGACCTATTGTATATTTCTAAGTATTTTTTTATAATCACTTTATAATTTATACAGCAGATTCAAATTATGTTAGTCAAATCCACAGTTTTATTAAAAAGGAAAAGGTGTAATATTTGAAGACAAAGTGTAATATAATGTGAAAAATTCAAAGAGCTCTGGTGTTTCAAAAGAAAAAAAAGTTATATGTCTGGGGGTGGAATGGGACATAAGAAAATAGTGAYGTTTTAGCTAAACATATGAGTTCAAGTACGGTTTCTTTAACTGATGATGATGAGAAAAACCACATAAATATAGTATAAAATTGGGGAGTGTACTGGATATATTGAAGGACTGTTGTCACTTATATAAGTAATATGATATCAGAACAGAAGGAGGTAACTTGTAGAGGGATGATTTTATTTGGGAGATAAAACGAGTCTCTTTAAATAAAAAGAGAGAGATGAAAAGAGTTGGGTTTCAGAAAATAAATATTAAAACAAAGGAGATAGAAATCTTATATATTGTCTTGGTTTTTATTCTCTAGAAATACTGGCAGTACTGATAAACATAGTATACTTTTGAGTTCACTTGATAAATGAGGGAGAAAATGGAAATTGGGTGCCAATGAATTCATCTATGGTTATCTTAACWCTAATATGTTAGTCATCTGGGACCTCATTTGGGGGTATATGACATTTTTAGAAGCAAAGTATAAAATTCTATACAAATGCAGAAATGAGGCAAAGATAAAGACTACATCCTTATCTATATTTTCTATCATGATACCAATTTTTAAAACTTTTTTTTGTCACTTTTTGAGTTTTTTGACCAAAGTACATGACAAAACAAAACAACAACAACAACAACAAAAACTCAGAGGAGAAAAAGTCTGTGAGGCTCAGTTTCGGAGGTCTCAGTCCATAGAAATCTGACTCCATTATTCTGGGCCCAACATGAGAAAGCATAATGGGGAAGAACCCAGTGGAGGAAAGCTGCTCAGCTCACGATGGGGTCAGGAAGCAGAGAGWGCAGAAGGGGCCAAAAGTAAGATGCACCTTTCCAGGATATAGCGCCAATGATCCACTTCTTACAGCCACTCCCCACCTGCCTATAGTTATCATCTAATCCATTCAAACTAGGATGGACTGATTAGGTTACAACTCTCTGAATCCAGTCACTTGACTTCTGAATATTCCTGAATTAACCCAGGCAGTTTAGGGGAGACACCTCACATCCAACCATAACATTCTACYCTGGGTGCCCCAAACTTCATTTCTATCTAGTAATGCAAAATGCATTTARTCTATCTCCCAGAGCCCCATTGTTTTGACAGTTTTAGCATTGCCCAAGAGTCCAACTTCAGAATCTCCTCTGAGATTCAAGGCGAACTCTGAGCTGTGAGCCCCTGTAAAATTCAAAAGCAAGTTACATGTATTTGATATATTAGAGTCGTACAGAGCAATTATTCCCATTCCAAAAAAGGATGAAAGAAGGGATGGATCCAAAGCAGAGTTGGGCAAACAGTTTCCCAACTATACCTACAGCATCTGGGACACTTGRCGGCAATATGGTTATTTTCAAAGGGTCTGGTCAGCTCTGCCACTTTGGCCTTGATGGTTGTACTTCACATAGGCTCTCTTTTAGCTTGATCCTCTCCTAAGTCAACAGCTTTTTTTTAGTAGACAGTTTACATTACTGGAATCTCATTTCCTAGGGTCTCCATTCCAGCTTTGGCTTCCCCGTAACCCATTGCATTCTCAGGGACAGCCCACAGGAACTCCAACCCAGCTACACTTTGCCTGACTTCAGAGGCAAAATCTTGGTCAAAGCCTTCATGACCACTTAACTTTATGCAAAATACTTAGCATCTCTTTAGGGGTGTTCTCTCTTCAATAAGCATACTTTCCTTATCCCCAGCTTCTCATGCACATTTCTGGCCAAACCACAAGTTGTTTTTTTTTTTTTTTTTTTAAACTCCTTCCCTTCTGTTTTCTACTTTCAATTCTCAATGTAAACCTAACTAAGAGCTGCCATAATAGCCATGCCACTGATTGAATGCTATTTTGCCTTGAAATTTCCTCCACAGATTTATTAGTCCATCACTTTTAAATTCAACCTCACATAAAGTCTTAGGACGTGGGAAAAATGTAGCCAAATTCTTTGTCATAATCCATAACATGAATGACCTCTAAGCCTGTTCCCAATAGAGTCCTCATCTCCCTCTGAAACCTCACAAGCACAGTCACATTTCTGTTGGCACTCTGTCTTCTGATCTCCCACCAGGGTTGCCCATTAACATCCACTTTCAGTATTCTAAAGCTTTTTCAGCCTGCATTGCCAAACTTTTCAAAATTCTTCCTACCAACCAGCTCCAAAATGTTGGGAACCACCTGGTCACTCAGTGCCAGTGTCTGTTTTAGTCAGCTTTTGCTTCACTGTAACCAAACTACTCGACAAGAACAATTTAGAGGAGGAAATATTTATTTGTGGCTCACAGAGGTCTGAGCCCATAGATATGGCCAACTCCATTACTCTGGGCCCATGGTGAGGCAGCATATCATGGGTAAGGGCCCAGGAGAGTTAAGGTGCTCAACTTACGGTGGGGTCAGGAAAGAGAGATAGAGAGAGAGGGAGAGAGAGAGAGAGAGAGAGAGAGAGAGAGAGAGAGAGAGAGGAGCACACTCAGAATGGGCCAAAGTGAAGATACCCCATTATTCCAGGGTACCCCATTGACCATCATCTTTGAGCCACTTGCTACCTTCCTACAGTTGTCACCCAGTCTGTTCAAACTAGGATAGAATGATTAGGTTACAGCTGTCACAATCCAGTTACTTTACCTCTGAACATTCCTGCATTAACAGAGGCACTTCATTGGGGACCCCTCATGCAAATCGTAACACTTATAGATTGCAACATAAATAGAAAATTATCTAAAGTAATCTTCACAGAATTATCCTCTGGATACCAGCTTTATGAATTTCTGATCTGACTTTCTATTGAGATAGAATGTTTTCACTGAGAATGTTAATTTGCAYAATTAATTAAGGATCTCTTCATTCAAATGTTGTTGTTTAGGATGAAACAGAGAGSTAATACGTATATCATCATGTACTGAACTATCTGTAGCTATGCCAGCTTATCTAGTGTCTTGTTCTGCTGCAAGTTTGTGGATGATTGCCCTCCTCTCTGAAGGAGGAGAGCAATTTTCATTGCTTTAGGGCTTCTTGAATGCACAAGTAAAAACTAAAGCCTATTTAAGACATTCTCTCCATAAAACCACACTGTTACTGGAATGAGAGCAGAGTTTATGAGGTTTGAATTGGGAGTTATTTTTTAGGAGATTACTAATATTTTCTCAGTTTATTAGCAAATTCAAAATATCTTTAAAGAGTGATTTGGTGAAAATGTAGTTTTAACATGAAATAGTGGTTATACATACACAGAGAGACACACACATGCCATGGATGTCAGTAATTTWAAAAAAAAACTTCTTTTTACATAATATCCATGTATTCTTTTAATATATGAGAATATCAATCTGCTGATTAATCAAATGGAATTATTTTGTTTTGCTAAATTGCTTCATGACTAGACTTTCATATTTGCCATTTGCAAGTTTATTTTTCTACATTACTTTCTTAAAAAGTAATATTTATTTTGGGTGTTATTTAGAATTAATACTTCTTTTGTACAGCATAGCATGTATCTASAGTGTTCCAGAAATGCTATATCAATAGCTTAGTTCTTTTACTACACATTTGTGAAATAGCACGAATAGTTTGGGTTAGGGCATTAAAAGTTAAGAATAAAACCACAAAAATGAAGTAAATCATTTAAAATAATATTTTTATACCATTCTGCTTATGGAGGGCCCTGATGGTAGATAAACTGTCTCTGTGCAAAAGAACATGGAGGGTGGACAGTTACTAAAATGTTTAGAGGCTAATGAATCTTTACATAAGTAGAATATTTTTATTTATTTGCAATGCACAATGGAATAATATTTCAAATCTTACATGCTTTAATAGCTGCCTAATAAGTCTTTATTATTTCCAAGACATTTTCATTGATATTTTGAAAACACAAAACTTTGATATTTTGAAAACACAAAATGAGTTACGAGTTATTTGTGGCTCTTTATCAAGTAACTATAAAATGAAGTCTTGTATAGCAAGGTCTAAGGCAGTAGGACAAAGTTCAAATTGTCATTTTCATTTGCCTTTTCTCTCAATCTGTTTTTAGGAACTGGGACTTGTCATTACTGGAACTCTTCCGGTCTTCAACATAACTGGCCAATTTGAAAATAAGACAAACTTAAAGGTTAAAAGTTAATTGATAAAATTAATAATAATAAATGATAAACTGTGATGTTGAAGCTTAATGTGGATAAGATACTCCTGTAAGGAAATGCATACAGTGTAACTGTCTTGTGAGGCCAGAGGTCAGTGGCAGCAGCTGCCTGTGTGATAACCACCTGGGAAAAGGAAGCTCAGGTCAAACTCTCTGTCGCCTCAGAGTCGAGGTTGAGCTTTGCTCTATTTAATTATGACCTGATGAGAACACAGAGTCAGACTCTGGGAGTAATTACATGATAAATGGTCAATACTGTGTGCTAATTTTTAAAATGCATTTGATGTATTTATGAAGTTTGAGGGGTGCAGGGGAAGAAAGAACAAAAACTATAATGATGTTTTATCAGGTGTATATAAATGCATTTATTGAATCCTTACTCTTCCAATTCCCAAACAATAGATTTTTTAGTCATAATTCAAGTATCTGATTTATAGTTCTTTTTTCCTGTTTTTTTTTAAGATACAGGGAAAATACTTAATGAGTTTCTAAAAAATGTTAGATTTTTGTAACACTGGTAATATTGTCATGCAATGAAATGCTATTTGAAAGTTCTGAATAATTATTTTAAAAATCATGTACTTGTTTTGTTAATTTTGGTTTAAAAGTAGTGATAAATTTTTATTTCTCAATTTGATTCAGAATGAATTTAAGAAGGCAGGAGTTAAGAATTTTTAATAGCAAATGTTTATTTTATAATGTGATACTATTTATTTGAAGGGATATTTTTTTCTAGTGCATGGTTTAATGAAGTCTACTACACTTAAGCATTATTTGTACAATTATTGTAAACCTCAGTTGAGCTGCTTATCTTAATAATATAGTCATATCCAATATCAGTTATTTCTCTTTAGGGTCCCATTACCATTCTTAAATATCTGTGAATTCTAAAAATTGCAATTCATAATGGAGCAATTGTCATATTCCTCATTTGCATTTAAGATCTCAGTATGGTCTGTCTCTGAGATGGCTTTAATTTGAGAGTTTAGTGCAGAGTAGGATTATTTCATGGCAAAGAGTATAGTTGTTGACATGACTTTAATTTTATAAGCACCCACACAGAGTTTAAAGTGTTTTTTATAATTTCTGACTAGATTTTAAATTTTGTTTGTAAACACATTTTGATTTATTACTTTATAATTTATATAATTCTATTTAAAACAAAGTTTTATGACTCAAAATTTTAACACAATTTTCATTTTTATTTCCCTTAGATGAGTATGATAGCTATTTTCAACATAGCTTCTTGACTTGAAATTAAAACCATGATGCCCATTATATAGAGAAGTTATTAGCAGCAATTAGGAACACTGTCTTGAAGATTTGATTATTAATAAGGTCACATATTTTAAAGATAGTTACAAAAAATGGGCACTATCATTTGTAAGAATATGGTGTTTCTTTATTCCATACTGGTCCAACTTTTAAATTGAACGTTTTTGTGGTTTCTTAATTGTAATATACCACAAAGTCAATGCACAAACATGCACACATATAGCTACAATAGCCAACAATGCAATAAATAAGTATTACATGAATAAATATTAGGAGAGAAAGGTACAAAAAGTATCAAATGAAAGTTTTCAGGTATCTAAGTCATCAAGATTTCATTTAAGTTGAGTAACAGTGATAATAAAACTATGGAAAAGATCAAAGCTGAGAATCTTTGTAAATTGACACCAAATTACAATCTGTGCACACTCACTCACACACACACACACACACACATTTGTTTACACTAGTATGGAATACAACCATTACTACAGCAAAAGGACGGATATATATAATTATTGTATAGAAATATATAATTTGGGGTACAAAATAAACTACTTTTTGCCATCTTGTTACAGAACCAACTGATTCTTGGTGTGATGGGCGTTGATGTGTCTTTGGAAGATATTAAAAGACTAACACCACGTTTCACAGTAAGATACAATTTACTTTTTTGGTAACCTTTCTTGTTCTTAGAACTGTGTATTAATTTAGCTTGTCTATAAAGTACTTAAGTAATTCTGAAAAAATGATGTGCAATTATCTTAGAAAAGGAGCTAAATATCATCCTTAAAATTAAAAGTAGAAATTGAATGTCATCCTTTAGCATGCTCTTAAATGTGATAAACCAATTAATTTAACGTTTTTTAAAAATTATGTGGATTTCTAATTGTGAGCATACATCTCTAAACTTTTTTATTATTTTCCAGCTCTGCCCCAATGGCTATTATTTTGCAATTGATCCTAATGGTTATGTTTTGTTACATCCAAATCTTCAGCCAAAGGTATGTATATAATTTGTTTACAATGCATAGTATTTATAAAATTGATGACTCATGATCTTAATAGGATTCTCATTTTAAAATTCACTTTTATAGCATTAAATACAAAAGAATAATCTGTAATCTAGCTCCCTTATTAGATGACAAAACCACAGATTATGACATGTGAAGAGGTAAAAGCATTTTCCCTTACCAGTTTAGGTGAACTAATATTCTTATGTGAAAGACAGCCATTATCATCTCCTGAACCTACTTTCACACATCACATGTGTGACTTTGATTAAGGCTGTGAAGGTGTGCTGCTGCAGACATTCCTGTGACCCTCCTAAGCATTAGCAATGTTCTTTTCTGCCTAGGATGCATTACCCATGGCCCTTTTCTTCTGATAATTACTCTGCTTTCCATCTCCCAGACTATTGTTTCACGTTGGGGCAGGCTTGTAAATACCTAAGAAAAAAATTAAATAAGTAAAATGTATATGATGGGTTTCAGAAATGGGAAGTGTAGTTTTTACTAAGTGAGTTGTTCCGGAAGCCATAAAATCCATAGACAAATTTTATCCTAATATTTATATCTACTTTCCCAATATACAAAACATTTTTAGAAAATACTTCATTCAACTCATTTCAGTTTTCATTAATGCTTAAAAAGGTGTTATGGCAAAATTTATTTACCTACATTTAGAATTAGACAAAATCTTATATAATGGAAATTTTGTAAACATTTTTAAGTGACTAGTGAAATTTGAGGATAATGCTGGAAATGCTCTAAACCATGGAGACTGTTACCTCCTTCTCTCTGTCATGGATGTTGAATGAGTCCCAGATTAGTAAACACTGGTGTGCCCACACATACACACATGAAGTTGTGACATTGAAATATTCAAAACAGCAATAAGGACAATTGATATTGAGTTACATATTAAATGTGATGATTTATTTTAGCATCTTAATATATATCTTAATGTTTCTATATTATTTCTTCTCACTTTGGAATTYATTGCCATATAAGATCCATCATGATATAAATATTTGCTAAGCATACATGGCCATTGAGCATCCTATATCATGTTTAAACATATTCTTTTTATAAAAGTTTACAATAGTACTTGTCTGTGTTATTAAATTATTACACTTCTTAAAAGTATGTCATTTAAATTCCTCAATATCATTGCTTATGATTAGGTAATCATGCTATGGTTTCTGTCATAGTTGAAAATATCTAACTTTCTAAATCTCAAAAAWTGTTTAAACTTTTCAAATATTATTTGAACTTTGTGTACCCAGTGTATTTCAGATTATATCTTCTTAATTARAGTAATCTAAAAGCAATATAAATATAATGTGCTAAGGAGTACAAAGAGTCCCAATTTTTCTGATTATAGACCTTAACCTTTMCCCAAAGGAACTATATATGATAGAGATATACAAATAACAATTGAAATTCTAGTTTTCATTATGAAAAGGTAGTAATTTGAAAAAGGTTTTAACATCTTCTGCAATCTCCTAATGACTAATATTTATATAGAAGGTATTTTATCACTATTTGATGATGTTAATATGTATTCAACTCATATTTGGAATAATCAATACATTAAAATTCATAAAATTACAAAAAATATACATTTCATAAGATTTGCGTTAAAAACTAGTTGACTTTTTTCTTCCAGCTCACAAATTAGCTCTCATGTTTTGGTATTGGATTTTATTAAAAGTAAGCGTGCAACAGTAAGATATTTTAAAAAATACTCTTTTAGGAAATTATTTTTAAAAATAAACAATTCTGAAAGGTCAACATACTGTCTTTCCTGAAACTTGTGAATTAAATATGCTTGTGCACTCTCATATTTAGCAGGATAAATATTATGATTTTTACTTTGTAAGTAATAATGTATGTTGTACAGATTAATATAAGAACCTCACAAAAGAAACTATATAGTATGAATGTTTCAGGAATTTACAAATACAAAAAACAATATGGTAACAGATGTTATACCAACAAACTTAATCTTAATTCTTTCATCAGAAATTCATCAATACAAATTAAAGAAAATGTAGCTATATCCATCGTACCAATTATTAATTAACAAGATGAAAAACTAATGTTAACCAAACATACCTGGTTTGGTGTCTTTTTTGTTTTCTTTCTGATATTATAATCTTATTTCAAACTATTTTAGTAWAATGTTATAGTTCATAGAAGTTAGGATAGTGTCCTCTTAAAAGCCCCAAATATCAGTAAATAAAGTAGCTATGAAGTTTTTTAAATTCTTTTTTTAAATTGATTTTATTATTTTTTAAAATACACGACAACAGAGGAATGTATTACTATCCTTATTACACATATAGAGCACAATTTTTCACATCTCTGTATATAAAGTATGTTCACATCAATTTATGACATTATACATGTACTTTTTTTGTATTATAATTCTTAATAGGCATATATACCACAATCTTTCATATCTCTGTTTGTATATAAAGTGTGTTGACACCCAATTCAAGTCTTCATACATGTACTTTAAAACACACAGTTTTTTCTCAATGTGTGCTGTAACCTTATGACCACAATTTTTAAAAMTATAAATATGTCTCCTGATTTATCCTTATTTTATTTTATTTTACATATTTTATTTCTACCATTTTGTTTCATTAAAATAACCAGATATGGTCTAATATCTAATATTTGATATATCTAATATTTGATATATTTATAAAATATCTAATTTTGATAAATTCTGATAGATATTTATTATATTGAAAATGGAGTATAATATATGATTTGGAAGTCCATATCTAAAATGAGTATAGAGTGTTATGGTTGAATTCTTCATCAGTTCAATAGACATAACACTGGCTAAACTTTCAGAAAACAAAGGCACAAATTTCAAATGTTTAAGATGTTTCAGTATTTTGTAGTATTGCTTTATTTAGGCTACTATGGTTAAAAAAAAAAAAAAAAAAAAAGGAGACTGGTGGCTTATAAACACCGGAAACATACTTTTCACAGTCCTTAAGGCTAGGATGTGCAAGGCTGAGGCATGGGTAATTAGGTGCCTTTTTCTCACATGCAGCCACCTTGCTCAGACCTCACATGGCAGAAATGGAAAGGATCTCTGTCAGGTTTGCCATAGGTTACTAATCCCATGGAGGGGTGGGCACCTCCTCAGCCTAATTGCTTCCTACATTGCTCCTCTCCTTCATACTATCAATTTTGAGGTAAAAATTGCAACATATGAATTGGGGGAGAAAGTTAGCAATATTTGCAGTTTGCAAAGTTGGGTCATATAAATTCTAACAATTCCTATTTCTCAATCTATTTATTTTTAAATCAGGAAAATTCAAAACTGTCCAGTACAAATTATTTTACACTTCCCAAGTGTGTACTTTTTTAGGAAAAACAGGAGAACATTAACAGTTGGTTTGCTTAAACAATGATTTTTATGAGGATATCAGTTGTTTTTAAATTACAATAGAATGCATTTTGACATACAGTACACAAATGGAGCACAACTTCTCTTTCCTCTAGCTGTCCTYGGTTTAGAGTTACTCCAGTAGTGTAATCATATATGTATATAGGGTAATAATGTCTGTCTCTTTTTACCATTCTTCCCATCCCCACAATCCCAACCCTCACTTCACTCCTGTCTACACAAACCAACCAAAGTGAGGATAACAGTTTTTATTTATTAAAAATATTTTTGAACTTTCATTTTTTTTAATCAGCTTATCATGAATTCTATGCTGCTTATAAAATATTTTGAATTCTAAGTATCAACCAATTTTTGACTAAGGAAATATGTGATCACAATTGATTATAGTATTACCTATGTTAACATGTACTGTGATGAATTATCATTTCTTTATTGCTTCAGCCTATTGGTGTAGGCATACCAACAGTTAATTTAAGAAAAAGGAGACCCAATGTTCAGGTAAATGAATGAAGGTAGACTTAGCTGTGCTTTCAAATTTGCTAAATCAGAGTTGAGATCAAGCTTGGTCTTATASCTTTTGATTAAAACTGCATTTCCTGACATTAGCTTACAGAGCATGAGATGGAAATGAGCATCATTTCTGAATAAACTGCAGCAAAAATGTTATTAATTATGGGRCAGGATATGCATTGGTGAACTAAAGATTGCTAAGTAATTATGTAATAATATTAACAATCAAGGGTATTCATAATGAGATGGCTTCTAAAAAGGAAATGTTATTAAATATTGTGAAATTAGTGTCAAATCTTTGTGATCCTAACAATTTGCTTATAAAATTGACTTCTAATTGCAAATAGAAATTCTTATGTGATAGTTTCCATAAACCAGAAATTTTAAGCCAAAATTTCTTTGAATTTCTAAAAGTATAATTTTGGATTAGAAGTTAATTTCCCTTCAGCTAATTGAAAATGTTCAATATTTCAAATAAAACGTGTGAATATGTACCACCTGGCAAATTTATTGCAAAATCTTTGCCATCAACAAGACTTAAAAGTTATTATATATATGCTGGGAATGATGGCTCGTACCTGTAATTCCAGAGGCTTGGGAGGCTGAGGCAGGAGGATTACAGATTCAAAGCCAGCCTCAGCAATAGCAAGGAGCTTTGCAACTCAGTGAGACACTGTCTCTAAGATACAAAATAGGGCTGGGGRTGTGGCTCAGTGACCAACTGCCCCTTAATTCAATCTGTGGTACACCCTGTAAAAAACAAAAAAGTTTGTTTGTTTATTTATTTATTTATRTTTATGGGCACATTAAAAATAATCAGCATAAAAGGATACTTTCTACAACTTTGAGAATTTCAGAATTTCAAAGAAAGTTCAACATTTAATGCTTTCTATATAAGCTTACCATTTTCTTAAAAAAAGTGTTAGTCACATTACAATGGAGAGGTGGTGTGATTTCAGAAGATGTTGCTAAGCTGTGAATTAGAACTAAGTTTGAGTTCAGTTCTTCTGRAGGCCAATATTGGAGTACTTCAGTTTGTTTACCTGAAAAGCAGTGTGTCTGCCCTGCCCAGACTGTTCATCTGGGAAATGAAGCATATCTGTTATTACTGGGCCCCATCTCTTGAAATTTCTGATTTACTTTGGCCTCCAAATTATTTTTAAAGCTTCCTAGGTTGTTCTAAAGTGCAGAGAACTGAACTAGWAAAAGCTTCATTTCTCTTCCAGCTCTAGAGCTCCAAGAAAATCTGAATTTCATGTTGTTGCATATGAGTCCCTGAATCTTTTACAATTCTTATAAAGATTAATATTATGTRTAGGTCATTCTTGATATTGATATTTTGTTACTCTCCTTGCATGTTTTCTTTTTATGTATCATCTTAAATTATATTTTTGCGATCCTGCATTTTAGTGAWTTTAAATTTTTGTAGCAAAATCAAATACTGCATGTAAATATTATGATTAAAAAATAAACATCCTGAATAATAGTTTATGTTATTTTTKATTTCATTCTAAGAAAACTCCAAATGGCAATCTAGCAACCATATAAGACTTTTCAATTTGAGGAATATTTTTTAATGAAGAAGTATTGTAATCATAGTGACAAATAACTATTTCAAATTCAAAATTTGCTAATATTGCATCCTGCCTTTTATTTTCACAAAATGAATGATTGTTATGATAGTTRATATTTAAATTTTGCAAATAGAAATGTCACATATTTAAAATGAGCAAAAGTAATGGGCATTCAGAGACCATAGAATCAAACAAATTTCTATTCTTAATCTTGTCTTGTTTTTTTCTTATTAGAATTCTGAAAATTTTTCAGTCCTTATGCCTATGATGACTCTTTTTAAAAAGTGGCCCGCCAGATTGCCATTTAAAAATACAAGTCGTGCATTGATATGTTTCTGTTATGATTTCATTTTCTTCTCTGTGTCTTTATATGTTGGATTGGGACATGATCTTCATATTGCCAAATCTTCCTGATAATGCCTCCTCCCTGCATGCTGTTTGGGTCTGGTCATGCTATGCATTATCCATTGCATGTAAGATAAATATTCTTTTTTTCTGTTTTCATTTTATCATTTTGATTATTTTTCACTTTGTTTGCATTGAGTTTGTTAAAATTTTAATTCTGTTTTGAGGGTGTTTATATGAGGATAGTTTATTTCATGAAAATTTACATAGGCAATTCTGAAATATTAGATTCAGAGTGTCCTTTCATTAGGGACTTTCTAGGTTTCTTTTTCTTTCGCTTTATTTAATTATGTATTTGTTTGTTTGTTTGTTTTGATACTGGGTAATGAGAATGGAACCCACTGGGCACTTTATTCCCAAACATTATTTATTTATTTATTTATTTATTTATTCATTCATTCATTCATTCATTCATTCATTCTTTTTAATTTGGAGACAGGGTCTCACTAAGTTGCTTAAGGCCTCCTTAAGTTGACAGACTGGTCTCAAATATGCAGTCCTCTGCCTCAGCCTTCTGAGTCACTGGGGTTACAGRTGTGTGCCACTTTGCCCAGCTCATTTTCTTAACCACAGATTTGAAGACTTTTCAGTATTACCCTTTAATTTTCTTCTGATGATATATGTTTTTATTTTCTTCTTATGGAATATTTATTTGCTTCTAAATCAAAACTGTGCCCTCCAAATGATATTATTGGGGGCATGGGTTGGGGTAACAGGGATTGAACTCAGAGTCACTTGACCACTGAGCCATATCCCCAGTCCTATTTTGTATTTTATTTAGAGAGAGGGTCTCACTGATTTTTTAGCACCTTGCTTTTGCTAAGGCTGACTTTGAACTCGAGATCCTCCTGTATCAGCCTCCCTAGCCGCCTGGCCAATTGATGGTATGTTTCCCCTTCAAAAAATTAAATATTGGCTGGGGATGTGGCTCAAGGGGTATCACTCTTGCCTGGCATGCACAGGGTGCTGGGTTCGATCCTCAGCACCACATAAAAATAAAATAAAGATGTTGTGTCCACCTAAAACTAAAAAATAAATATTAAAAATTCCCCCCCCTCTCTCTCAAAAAAAAAAAATTAATTATTTGGCCTGGCACAATGGTGAAAAACTGTAATCCCAGGTGCTCAGTATGCTGAGGCAGAGGATTGCAAGTTCAAAGCCAGCCTCAGCAACTTTGTGAAGCCCTAAACAACTCAGGAAGACCCTGTCTCCAAATTAAAAAAAAAAAAAAAAAAAGACCTAGCGATGCTGATCAGCGGGTAAGTGACCCCTGGTTAAATCCCCAGTACCAAAAACAAACAAACAAAAAATCAAATACTTAGACTTTTAGTAATATAGAACCATCTGATTATAGTCAAAGWGTTCTTAAGCAGTGAATATAGTTCAGTTTTAAAATTATAGATGAGGTCTGTGGTCCTGGCTCAGTGATAGCTTGCTTACCTTACATGTGTGAGGCACYGTGTTAGATTCTTAGCATCACATATAAATAAATGAATTAAATAAAAGTCCATCGGGTAAGTTTTTCTTTTTTTTTTTAATTTGCCTTTAAGTATTCTCATTCATCAAAAACTAAGGGAATAAAAAATATATTTATTTAAATGAAGTTATTCCTGAGAGCAGTTTTTTCATAATTATAAAATACTGTGTATACTGTTAGTCCATATCCAAAAAAGATATGCTTAATTTTAATAAATTTTTAACTGTTCCTTTTGTGTTGGGAAGTCTACTCTCCTAAAGTTGTGTTTCAAATAGTGATGATGAAAAGGGAGGCTGATAATTACCAAGAATCTGGTGACAGTGCATTAATCTAGAACAGTGTGCATTTAATACCACTATTTAATTAACTYTGAGACTTGGATAATGTTTATTTTAATAAACATTTAAAATATAGTTTCTAAAATTTTGCATTTATAAAATCATACATATTATGACTTATTGTTCTAGTGAACTTTGAAATTCTATGACAAGTTACTTARCAGGTGTTTTAAAGGAATGCATTGATTTAGTTCAGTAAGTCTTCAATATGTGATTGTGAAATTAAAATAATGTCATATATGATACAACATTACCAGGCTAATAGTATCATATACTTATATATAAATAAATTATTCCATGGTGAACTTTATTTGTTATTATGCATCAGCAATAAAAGTCAGTAAATGTTAAGTCAGGAAATAGTATTTAGTTAAACTTTAATTAAAATAGCTAATCTTAATAAACGTCTTTGTGACTTGACCACAGTTTTCTTATAAAATCTTAATAATTTGAATTAATAAAATATAAAATTTCTGAGATTCAAATATATAAAACTAACTTWCTTCTTTTCCTTATGCATATTGAGAAGAAAGTATAGATCTTATAGAATTTGTTTTACTTAGAAAATTTAAACTAGTTTTAAAAAAACGTTTTTTCCATACACAGTCTATTTTTTTTATCTGAACTACAGCTTGGGATGCTTACATATGGCCTTTGTTTTATTGTCACATTGCTATATTTTGCACTTTGTCATTCTAATTAAAGGAAAGAAAGTTGTGAGTGGATCTTCAAAAGTCATATTCCCATAGGCTTGTGATTATAAATGCAGTGTATAATACAACACTTAGGGTAAGACTGTTTTCATTTGATGATTAATTACAATTAATCTACTGCATTTAAAGCTCAATCTCTAGCTCTGTCTACTTTCATGTACATATGTTCATGAAATAGTTTCATGTGCATATKAAAGAAGATACCTCTATCAATTACTAATGTATCTTAGGTAAGTAACTTTTAGAGAATTAATTTCATCTTTAAATATCCATTAAATTAACTCTGTACACAGCATCATTTTATAATATCATATGTAATTAGTTGTTATTGTTTTCTGTGTAGAACCCCAAATCTCAGGAGCCAGTCACATTGGATTTCCTTGATGCAGAGTTAGAGAATGATATTAAAGTAGAGGTGAGTGTGATCAACAGGACAAAGGCAGACCTCAGGTCACTGCTTTACTTCTTCCATGCCTCAAGTATCTGTCCAGCAACTGTGTTGTGTTAGGCTGTCTCTTAGGTAACACACACACAAAGATGAATATCCTCTATCTTTAAATTTYCTAGGTTCTATCTTCTCCTCATCCAAAGGATGATATGAGAAGACATAAATATTTCAAGTTGGGTATGACCTAAATGTTTTTCTCCTTTCAAAGATAGAGGTATTTTAACTATTCCAATACTAAAAGGACAGAGATTCAATAAAAAATCATACAAATGGACATTACCACACAGTTGAAAGAGGAGTTGGGAGGCATCCAGCTACCTGACCACATGAGGAAAACATGAGCAAAGCAGCTGCCATATTTGTCTTCGCACACTTTACTCAGCAAATTTCTATTTTATTTCAAAACCAAAATCACATGTCACTTCCTCTGAGAGGGTCTTTCATGATAATAATGGGTTAATAGTTAAAAATAACACTAAGTACATGATATCAGTCATGGATTTTCAAGAGCCTTTGAAAAAGATATGGAACATTTTATTATATCTATGGCACTGATGATAACTTTGCAGTAAACAGAATTAAATAGTAACTATAAAAAGTTACTCAGTAAGTTGCAGGAGAAGGCTCTTGTACTCYAGAACACAGGTCTGGGTATTTTTCTAGAAGGATTGACTTCTTCTTTCATCTATGCCAAAGTTACGTATTTCTTTKAAAATTTGTCACGGCATATTTTAATTTACTCCCTCATTGCGCAACCATAAGATTTAACTATGATTATCCTAGACTGTGGCACAGAGCTGGGACGTTTTCATTGGCTAATGAATATTTGTTGTCAAGTGTTATATACAATAAAGTAGAATAAGGTAGAGGTGGCAAAATGGATGTCYGAACTCCTCCCTGCTCAGTCACCACAATGATCACCACAACATTTAGTCTCTCTAAGCCTTAGTTTCCCTTCATGATTGCATGAAATAATATCTAGAAAGAGCTCGGAAAAATATCTGCTTTGTGGTCAAGTCTTCATTAGTTTGGAGCCTTGATGGGACATTCAACTTACCTAAGGAGCTACTCTCTGCTCTTTCCTTTTGTATTTTTCAGACCTCAAGTATTTTAACTAAATTAGACTAATCACATACTCTTCACATTTAATTTTTTTTTTCACACCAAGTTTGTTCACTTATTATATGTAGTTACCAAATGCCAAATGCAAATGTCCAATTGAGTTATAGAAAATGAAAAATAAACTAAAGAAAATTTTGATAATTTCCAGTAGATAAATATTTTGTAAATTAATGTAACCTAATTCATTTTTTAAAATTTGGGAAATTGCCTATAAGGAAGCTAAATTGTTTTATTAAATCCTAGTAGGTCTTTATAATCCTCTCCATCCCTTGCTTATATTGTATTTGTACTGTCAGAGATGACAAATAGAAAATGAATAATGGATAAAAAGTATTGGGAAATAAAATTGACAGATTTATATTATTATATTTTGTACCTGTTCATATATATAACAATTAATGTCATTGTTCTGCATAATTTTAATGCACTAATAAAAATAAAAAAATTCTTTCTCATATAAAACTGATTAGATGAAGTTGAAATTTGAAATATTCCATAGTACATGCTAGTTCTGTAAATGCATATACATTTCTCTTTCTCAATGAGAACTTTTCATGTAAATGTAGCCAGCCTATAAGACAGTTGACTACTTTTTTTTTTACTCATTATGTTTCAAAAATTAATGTTTGGTTGAAAAAAATTTATTTCAGGTGCTCTTGTTATTTTAAATATAAAATGATCAGAGTTTGACAACTTTAAAAAATAATTCCCAGAGAACAACTGCAACTAATAGTCAAACCAGTGTACCATTTATATTCATTCTGTTCAAAATAAGGAAAAAYCTTGAAAAATGAATAAAATCATTCTTCAATAGGTCTGTTTGGTTCCTGGAATAAAGTAGTTGTTTCGTTTTCCCTTAGATTCGAAATAAAATGATAGATGGAGAAAGTGGAGAAAAAACCTTCAGAACTCTGGTTAAATCTCAAGATGAGGTAAGAATTCATTCTTTTGTATTCTTAAAGTATGTGTTAATAATAATCTATCTTGACAATTTGTCTTTCCTTTCTGCTAATCTCATATTTACTTATATAATAAGGAAGTCTCTAATGAGTAATTTTCTTTTAAGACACTTCTTAACTAGGGGAATATTTTTCTAAGATATTTTCAACTCTTTTCAAAATATTTTTGAAATAATATTGCTTTAAGTTTATATATACATATATATATGTATATTTTTAAATAATTGAAAGCTATATTTGATGCCTGTATATTTTATCATTATAAGAAACAAAACACACAATATAATATTGTGCTATGTTTTAAGCAACAATGAAAACTGAAGTTAATATTGAAGAGCTGTATGTTTTATGATTTGTGCATACAGACGTTCTAATTGTTATGTTCTGTATGTTGTTTTGTGTTTGTTTGTAGTTGGAATTATCTCTGTTTTTACTATTTATAGATTTCCTGCATTTAAATCTGAAATTAAAATATGAGCTAGCACAACTGACCTCATTTATCACTGACTTATTTAGTAAACATATTTCTTTATGTTTGTATGTAAGATCTCTTGTGGATAAGGAATAGCTAACCATTAATCAGTCATGTGGAATGAAAAASGACATTCATCTATTTGAGTATCTCAAAAATATATAGGACTCAGAGGTTTTTGTGCCTGGAATTTTAACCTTAGCTTTTATATATAAATTATATCCATCCCTCTGAAATCTCATACTTTTTTCCCAGATTCTCCCCAATTCCTCAGGAGATGTTTCCAAAGATGGACCTAGGTTCTAAATGTGGTCCTTCATTAGCACATGGCTTTTCTCATTTTAATATCATTATGAGTCCCTCTTACCAGAGCATGAGGAGGTATATATAAACTTCAGTCTTTATTGAGCTATCTACTCAGTATTGACTTAGACTTTAGCCATGGTCTTTTCCTTTTCACTCCCTGCATGAAGGATGTAAACTACTCAACAGTACYGCTGACCTCTCTCTGTTGTTCCAAGAACTGTGACCTGCACATTCTTTCCTTAGCTTACCAAGTTATCTTCTTTCTATTTACTTACATTGATATTTTCCCTGCTTCATATTATTGCAGATTCCTTTATTTGACTAATTTCCGCTTATAAATCTTTAAAATTTTAGATTTCTTTTTCTTGAATGCACAATTAAAAGTAGATATAGCTGCTAACCTTCAATTACAATATAAACACCCTCCAGGTTTTTGTATATTCAATTAAAGAAAATTTGTTTACCCTATGAATGAGTATATCAGCTGAGAAGTGACTGTGAATTTCATCCTCTTTTGTWGTAGGAAATCATGTAATTTTTCTTTACACCATTCTCCATTTTTGTGATTGGAACCTCAGCACATCTCAAAATATCTGGCATTATGAGTCACAAATAATTTAAAATTCTTTACATGTGAAATGTTTCCCACAGAGTCTTTCTTCTCATCTGATTTATTAAATAGTTTTTACCCACACTTGTCTCAAATTAATTTGTAAACATTTTCTTYAAAGTCATGTCTTTCAAGAATCCAACTATTCTGCAAAAAATTAAATAAATAAATGGGATAAATAAGTAGAAGTAATCAGAAATTTAACATAAAAGATGCAAACTCTCATGTTATGCATTACTGTTCATCTTAATGTTACTACTAAAATAGGTTTAAAACAGAGTTACACATCTCTGCTTAAATTTATGTCCAATTAAGTCTGATTTGTATGAACCTGAAAATAGTTTGAAAAGCTAATTTGATAATATCCCCAACCTTTTTACAAAGTTGGAAAAAGAATTTTATGACTAAAAATTAGATACCAAGCATGCTTAAAATTGTCTGTGTAATTGCTAAAATTGAACACTAAACAAGATTATAATAATTTTTTCTATTATAATTAAAAATGATTTCATAGTTTTATTTCTCTCATCTGATATTACTTGTCATGTTTTTTTCTGAGTAGTAACAAATTCATACATATTGTCATTTTAATTCTTCTAGGAATTTTACTCATTCAAAATAATCCTGTCCACCCATTCTTCCATCCACCATACAYAYGCCTACACACACRTGCACACACACCCACACAGAGCAGTAGGAGGGTTTGATGTATAAAAGCAAAATTAAATAGTCATTATAAAAGTGGATTCGGCCTCAGACAWTTTTCTTAACCCTGAAATTGTAAGTGCATTATCACCTTCTTAAGGCTTATTTCTTGATCAATAAAATATGGGAAATAATATCTACTCCTGGGGTTTGAGTAAATGAGATAAGTGACAGTAAGATATTTAGCATGGTGCATAAAGCTGAATAACCCTTCCACAAAATTTTTAATATGGTGAGGATAATAAAGCTGGAGATAATTGACAAAATTAAAAGTCGCATATGTGCCATTACTGTACCTAAAGGAAGAAAGATCGAGAATGACTTTATACCATTACTCAATAGCTGCATATGAAAGATTTTATATCGGAGAAGTTATTTAGCTCAGCATTTCCTTTCTCTAGTAGATTAGTTGTCTTCCTAATCTTCAGTGACATCAAGTAATTAGCCTCTTAACAAACCACAATAATACCATAATTAAAGCTTAGTAAGAACAGTAATAATATACTAATTTGGATCTAGACACACTGATTACATTCATTTCCTGATATTCCTACTCACTCTTAACTGTACTCTAAAATGAAAATATTTGAGTCGTGGTCTTTTTCATTATTAAACTTTGGTTTTCAGAAAATATTTTCAGGTTTTATTTTTCTTTGGCATAAACTATTAAGATCTAATACTTTTAACTCCTTAAATTGTATCATCTGGATACTTATTTCTGTTCTAAAATTTTGATTTTCTTTCAAACACACACCCATAATGGAAAAAAATGAATTTAGGATAGATTCTATCATACATTTATGAAGAAAGCTATGAATGACTGCAGAATTTATGAGTAAATATTATTACTCCATTCCTCATATGAATTCATGCAGATATGAGTTGATAATAATGAAGTCAAACTTTTTTCTAGAGATATATTGATAAAGGAAACAGGACATACACATGGACACCTGTCAATGGCACAGATTACAGGTAATTAATCACATTTATATGTGTAATATGGAAAAAGAATGTTCAATGCCTTTTTCTAGTTTTTAGTAGCCACATTTTCAATGGATGAATATTGTCTTTGCATTTTCATAAGCTATTTTCAATGTGATTTCCAATAGAAAGTTACTCTCTCTCCATCGTAAAAATGTATTAAAGTTATAGCACCTGATTTTTCAAGATAGAAAAGATGGGGAAAGCTAGCAATATTAAAACCTGTCAATAAAAACATATGTTTTAAATATGTATTTTTTTGTCTAATTATATTACTAATAAATGTTGACAAAAATCCCCATAATATTTTATAGCTGTCACTTCCACTGACTTCCTCTTTTAAGTTGGGATTTTGCTTATTTTACTTGCATTTAAGTTGCAAATTAACCTAAAAGTACAGCTTATTTTCTCCTCATCGCATCTGTTATAAAAGACTTAGTTGATGTAATTTGCTCCCACTGAATAGCAGTTCATTAATATCAGGATCTATCCCATTAGCTGAACTTGGAGAATTAGACAGCCTAATCCCTGATCATCTCTTGGAAGATTCCTCCCTTTCTCCAAACCTGCTGAGCATTTCCTTCACTTTCTCACTTTAATTCCCCTCTCAGCTCACTGCTTTCCCTCTGGCCCGGCTCCCTGCATCCTCATAATACTGAGGTTTATATGAGTACATCATTCTTGTTACTCCTTCTCTCTTTTTTCCTGTTTAAAWGGAACTCCCATCTTTGAATCTCATGTCACCAGACTACACTATCCACCTTTCTCTGTTTAGCAGTTGTATCCCTTTTATTCCTATAAGATCGCCTCATTATCAGTCTCTCCTACATTCATATAGATCAGTATTTTTCAAATTATTATAACATATGGACACTGGCATAAAGTAAAACAAAAATTTCAAAGCAGTTTAAAAATACAAGCTGTAAATTTTATCATTAGATTCCACAGACAGAGTTAGCCTGTCAAATTGCTGTAAAATTTCCTAAATATTTACTTTCAATTTCTGTATTTTTCTGTTCATGGGATAATAATTATTTGCAAATTAGATAGGTCTATGCACTACATTTCAAGTAGTATTTATATAGATGAGTTTTCCGGTGCCCAAACTTCCATTTTTTTTCCCTCCTGTCCTCTACTGATATTGTCATCCTCAGCCTTACCCATTTATTCCAAAGTCATGTTCCATAGCTCTTATAGTGTCATCTGCAACTCCTTCATAATCTAATGGAGATGTCTTCATCCAACCTTTGATTATCACTTTCTAGATTTCCACCCCTCTCACAAGTAACCTGATGACAGCAATCCTTTGTCTCAATTGAGATTAAAAACTCAGCAATCCCTTCTCCCTTTCCACTGTCCTTGTGACCCTCTTTATTTGACAGAAATTTCTTGGATCCTATGTTCACTTTCTTGCACACACCCCAGCCCAAGTCCCTTTATCAGACTTCCTTCAGGTTTGACAAAATACCAATTCTGGTTAAGTTCAATTATAACCACACTTCACTAAAAATGGTTGAAGCAAAGTATTTACAAACCCATATCCTCTAAAATTGGTGAACACTTATCTCAAGTGGGCCTTAATAATGCCTGAGGTTCTCAATAATCCAGGAAATATAGGRTGCTTATAGATGATTGATGACAGTTTCTTCTTTTTCTTCAAACCCATAATACTMCTCATCCATTTTTTTCTTGGGTGGTGTCTTTGCTTCCATTACTGTGAAAATAGAAATGAAAAGAATTCCCACTCCCCTGGCAGTACATAGCTGCTTACGTCTGGACCTCTGTTTTTGTTCCTGTTGATATTCTCAACACACTAAAATGAGTGAGCTTAACATCTGAAAACAATTGTACCTTACTCACAACCTCCCAATAATTTACTGTCTCATTGGTGTAGCTTCCAGAGACCACCATGGTGCCCTAAACCATGGATCTCACTCACCGCCACCTCTCTAAATCATTGTCCACTGCACATGCTCTGGTTRAGCCATACTGTTCCCCTTGCTGCTGCTCATAAACACTGGCACTCTTCTGTCTCATTGCATTTATTCCTGAAGTGACTTCTGCCCCACATGATTTTTCCTTGATAGACCATATGCTTATATCCTCATCTTCATGTCATTGCTTACTTTTCATTTCCTCAGAAAGTCCTTTTCCAACCATCCTAATTAAAATGGTAAGTGCCTCACCATACTCCATGTTTCCTTCCTCTGCTTTGTGTTTTCCATAACATCATCTTTTACTTTAAACACAGGYACATATACATGAGCCATACAATACATATAATGATATTCTCTTTTGTGGGAAGGGGTTKCTGGGGATTAAACTTAGAGGCACTCAACCACTGAGCCACATTCCCAGGCCTATTTTGTATTTTCTCTAGAGACAGGGTCTCACTGAGTTACTCAGTGCCTCACCATTGCTGAGGCTGGCTTTGAACTTGCGATCCTCCTGTCTCAGCCTCCCTAGTCACTGGGATTTCAGGCATGTGCCAATGCACCCAGTGATATTTTTGATTCTCATTTGTCTTCTTTTACTACTAAGTTCTAAGGGGCAATGACTTTTCCCTGTGTTTTCTGATTTTATCAGCTTTCTGACAGTGGCATATAGTAGGCACTCTATAAATATGTCCAGAGTTGAAGAATTTCTATTTGAAGTTGATAAAAAATTTAATCAGAGAAATTTCCAGTCTGTCTCATTCTSTCAGATTCATATAATGTCCCAAACTTCCATTGCAATAAGGAAACATGAAAGTCTCTTGTGACATATTTCTGTGCAATTAACATGTATCCTAACTAATAGGCTGCGGTGGCCTCAAGTATTTCTTTTTATATTTCTTTCCTTTCCAACTCCTCATAACATACACATAACCTTTAAGGGGAGCCAAGAGTGCTAGGGAATATTTCTAGAGCTACATGTTGTTATCATAGGAACCTGTCTCTTTGTTCCTGGAATGGTATATAGAGTAGATATAGAAGAGAAAAACATACATACTAATGTCTTCACATGCCACATGCCAGTCCTTCTTCCTTTTCTTGGTTTTGACATTTTTTAGGATTTATTAAGAAACACTAGAATGACTATTTTAATTATTTTACTTATTTCAATCTACTAATTCCTATCTCTAATTTTTATCTAGGCATCTCTTTACATTTACACAATCTTCATACACATATACATATTATTCTTTTCCTCCCTCTTTCTCAATTATTGCCATTTTTCAGTTTTAGGATAAACTCACTAAAAGGTGTAGAGAAGGCAGCAGGGAGCCCTGTCTCTTGAGAGTGAGAATGTGCACTGTGTTCTGTTACTCAGGTGAACCAGATCTGAGTTAGGAATGCTGTGCCACTTTGTCCCTGACAGTGAGGCAGCCATGGTGGTTGGCTCTACTGCTGTTATAAGAACACTTTGGGGGTTTATAAAATTTTTCTTATACCCTGGTTGAAGGTGTAATTATCTCACAAATGGCTTCTACACTCTATCTAACCTTTCCCTCACACACTCAGGAATAATACAAAGTGTGGGCAGATTAATGTTTCCTCAAATTCATTGTCTTTCCCTGTTCACAAAATATCACATTTAGACTTCCAAGGCTGATATACCTATCACACATTTCACACTAAGCTATCTTCCCTGTCACTTCTGTGATTTCCATTATTATACATTTCGTTTTTCTCCGAAGAGGCCCCGATTCCTTCACTTTGGCATGTTTTCCTCATATATTCTCTTTTCCAAGTCTCTAATTCTGGGCTAAATTGAATCTACTCCTGTTATAAACACTTCCCTGAATTTCTAGACAAATTCACAAGCAGCAGTTTAGAACAAAATATCACATCTGAGTTGAACAAAAGATATGTTTAGATTTAATGAATGAGATACCAAATTTCAGAAAGGTAAATTCTGGCTCCATAAATTTTGATCCAAGTTAGGTTCCATCTTCTGTATTATAGTAATTTAATTGTTTTAATAGAAAGCCTTCTCTTTTTAATAAAGTTTACTTTGACATAGATTATTGAGTTGAAAAGTGTGTGTGATATTCTATTTAACTCCGTTAACTGTGTTTATGGGGCACATAAATGTTGCATGGGCTCAACCATCCATCTGGTGGCCACTTGCTTTATTGAACTTTAATCTCCAAGAGGAAATAAAGCTGTCTTGGTTTATTGGGTTTATATGGAGAGAGACAGCAAGTACTGTGTATGATAGCACCATTGACTCGGAATGTTTGTAAAGATCTTATCTAGCATTATGTGGAAGAAATAACTGTTGGCTTGAGTTGAAGATAAAGTATAACACTTTTTCTATAGAAAGGATTGTAGCTCTGGATAACAGCATTAGTCTTGCAGGCCAATAAAATGTATATTTGATATACCAATTTTAAAACATTTATGGTGTTCCTCTTGAATTCCCACACTATTTTGTGGTACATGAGATGTAACACAAGCTTACAGAGTGACACTGTAGCAGTTGCATGATATAACGTTATTGGTTTTAATTAGAAGTTTCTCTTAGCAATAAGGCTGATGGAGCAATAAAAATGTCCTAATTTCCCTTGAGAGGAATTTGTAGGAGACAATCTTCAAATGCTCAGTAATTCCACTCTACATTTTCTAAATGGCAAGCGAATCATGAAAGGTCATCTTGCTTTCAGACTGATTACGCTGCTTATTTTAATTTTAATCTCTGCCTCCACTTGAAGTTACCTATGAAATGAATATAGAAATTTTCATTAAATCTACATAACATTTTATTTCCCTGACCTTTTCCTGTAAGGAAAGTCTTATAAATTATTTAACAATGGCGAAAGACTTGGGAATCAAAAGTAACAAACATCCACTTATTTTGCTATCTTTATTGCATAATTAAATTTAAGCAAGTAGGCTCTTGTATTTTTTTCCTTTTTATAAAGGACAATTTTAATATTTATATTCATAATAAGGAAAAATCTGAAAATTTATACTTAGTTTTACTCCATATTGTCCACAAAGGACACATAAATGAGATTACAGTTTAGATTTTTCCAAAGCTGGTGATACATGAGATTTGAGCGACTTCAAGGATCTGGAAGTGCCAAAAAATGCTCAAAAGCCTAGAATGTACACCTTTCCCTTTGTATTACTAAAATTTGGAGTAAATTTTAAAAATGTATGTCAGTGACTCAATTAGTCATATTAATCAAGTTTTACTTTTAGAAAGTGATTATGTTGGGCCCCTTAGAGATACCCTCATTTTTTTTTTTTTTTTTTTTTACTTTTAGCTTACAAGTTTCCTTTCTATATTCAGAGCATAGCAAAAGTCATTTGTAACTGCAAATGGGGATATAGGATCATTAGGTATGTCCCACATATGGGTGTTAGCTAGTATGAGAGTGGAATCATTTTACACATAAAAAGTTGTATTGTTAGAAATTGCATATTTTGAACTTTTAATAGTTCTAAAACGTCATGTTTTATTAACTGTTTATTTCAAATTGAGAAATGTTACTTGCCTGACAATGTTTTATTTTGAACAGTCATTAAGGCAATTTTGGATAAATGGCTAGTTTACATTTTTTGTGTCTAAAACATTCTGAATTTGACTTAAAATTTKCCCTAAAACTGTCTTCCCATTGGGACATCTACCATGAGACTAAAGGAACTCTTTAAATCTCATAAGCTACTGAATTTAGAATGTATTTCCCTTTGTGTCTAACAAAAATCCACCAGATCATTTGGAATATCCACAGTAAATGAATTTAGTTGTACAATTGGGTAAGAAATAATGAAGCAAACAGTTAATATCTATTAGTGCTATAATGGATCTGAATTTGCCCACCAGCAAACACTGGAAAACTTGCCCAAGGATTAGAGTTTTAAAGTAGTAGATATTTAACCCCTAAAAATGTTATATTTCAGATGACCTTATGCATTGTGCAGTAGTAGTAATAATAATTCTTCCATTTATAATTTTTAATGGTATCTGTCTATTTGGTATAAAACATTTGAATACCTTATAAATACATTGATGAGGAGTAACCAATTGGTATGGTCTACTTACTTAATAAAAATACTCTTAGTATTCTATTTTTTGTCAAAATTCAAAGTATTTTAAAATAATTGCCTGAAAATACAGTAGRAACCCCATGACATTCCTTCCTCAGCTAATTTATGGATGCATTTGTTAGCTTATTTTCCACATGTCTCCTGATTCCCTACAATATAGAAAGTTGGATGACTCTGGATGGCAAGACCAAAATTAAGTACTCTATTTGCTGAATGCATTTTCTTGTCAAAGTAATATGTCCTTTCCAACCCATGAGGAAGATCTTTGGATTTTCCCATGAACTTGATGTGTCCTTTTTTTTTTTTAAGTTATGTTTCATTTTTGTTTGTTTGTGTTTATGCTTCTCTTGTTTCTATTGCAGTTTGGCCTTGGTATTACCAACCTACAGTTTTTACTATATAAAAGCCAAAATAGAAGAGACAATAACTCAGGCCAGATGTAAGTACTGTGAAAGCCACGTCAGGGTCTATTTGTTATCTCCTAGTCTCAGATGTTTAAATACGTCTAGATTTTGGAATACCCAAGGCTTATATATTTTAGTAGGTGTTATTACCAAATCTACAGCAATGATTCTAACCCATTCCAAACATGCAAGGAACAAGAAATATTCTACATGGATAGAATATGAGCAGGTACTCCAGTCTCACTGGCAGTCCCCACCACCCTTCCCTGCCTTGCTATGTGCTCATAGAATCATTGCAGTGCTGTGTCCTCTGTTGCTGTCGTTTTAAGGGTCTGCTAGCTGGTGTACAATGTTTCACATGCTAATTATCAACATGGTCTCTACTCATGGCTCTGTGCTAGTAAAGCTTTACCTTTTCTTATCTTTCCTTTCACTTATTTTTTTCTGTTGCCTTTGGCTAGAATAATATTGTGCTTGGCAATTAACTTTCTTTCCATAATCCAAATTAATGTCTCAGTAACTCAAACCGATTTTTTTTTTTAATGAGCATCATTTGGAATGTGGAGTAATTATGAACACTAGTGCATATTTCCAGTCATTGTTCATCTTTGTTTGGGGTGACTAGATTTAGTAAAGTAAAATGACCATCATATCCTTTTCATACTGTTCATTCATTATTAACACCCTAAATTTTTTTCTGTTAGGATTAAGAAAAAATATGTATATACATTATATTTTGTACATCTGGCTTGAGAATAAACTAAAGTTTCCTTCATTTCTGTATTGGATCTTTTTTTTAACCTCTACAGGCCTGGTGTTCATAGAATATTGTGGTATATTATAAATTTATATTTGCACTTTCACTTAATAGATATGATGGTCTTTTAACAACCAGCAATTTTGCATGAGCTAGTCCTTCACTTGACAAATGAGGGATAACTAGGGAGTCCTTGATGATTGGTAAGTGCTTCCATTAATAGGATGATATCTTGGGTATTTGCACCTGCATTAACACCACTTTGCAAAACAGACCCTTGAAATAACCACAGTACAGAAAGGGTAATCTAGTAAAATTACCAGGACATACCTTCCAGCCTTCAAAAATGTCTTTTTTTTTTCCAGACTACAGCTGTACATAAATGAACCTTTGATCTATGCACAATATTTTTATTCAAGAAAGTCATTGAATAAAATATTGTTTGTGACCCCCTTTGCTTTACCCTCTTTTTTTTTGTTTCCCTGCTTTCTCTTTCTGATGGATTTTCACAGCAAAAAAGGGCAAAATGAAGGGCAAGTATTTTCTTGTTGCTCAGTTTCTTTTTCTTAAGTACACTTGACATTTCCACTGATATTTTCATTCCTATTGGATATTATCCTCTGTGCTTCTCATTTGCTAGATTCTCCTCCACAGTCACTCAAACCTTAGCAGCAAAAATGGGGAAGAATATGCTTKCGTTTTCATATGCAACCTGTCTCATGTTCAAGTTTTTTTCTTAAAATTAAAATTGTGTTTTTTATCCTTCCACTTACTAATTCATACCTAAAATGAATAATGTTATTAATTGACTAAATACATTAAGTTTATTAAAATCATTTTGTATCATAATGTTGGTAAACTTTTTCTATTGCTATTTGAAATAAAATACTTAATGTAACATTGATCTGAAGTTTTCTTTAAAAGATATTTGATTGTACTGTGGCTAGTGAATGGGAATAATGTAGAYTGCATTTTATCTGGTATAACTGTTGTAATTAGGTAATTAAGTAAATCCATGATATGGCATTATTACTATATTGGGAAGCATTAAGGACCTTTATGGTTTTTAATTTGTTTCACCTTTTGGATGTAAGTAGTCTGTTTTATTTTTTAATTTTTCTTACTAGGTAATCTTTCTAATGCATTCTTATTGTCATAGAATCTTGGAATGGGTACTTGTTGTTTATTTAATCTGTGACATTATCTTTGCAGATTCCGAAACCCTGAAGCCAGATAACTTTGAAGAATCTGGCTATACATTCATAGCACCAAGGTTGGTTTGGGGCTTTTCATGTTTTGTTTTCCTTTTTTATAGCTTTTTGGTTGGGTAAGTCCTTTAACAGATATTCTAAATTGGAGTCAAAACTACTTTGGGTTAATCCWATGTCAAATTATGAAACCTAAGACAATGACTTTTTTAAACTGTACAATATCCTGGTTATCCATTCATTTATTCATTCAGATACTTACTGAACAATTGCTATGTATAATTCAAGCACACAATGGTGAATGGGATAGATGTAGACTTTGCTCTTATGGAACTAAAAATACACCAAATAGTAGTGGAGAATTATGTATTGATGCATTTGCACTTTTGAGTATATACATTATATATGCACACATATTTATACACRTATGCAAAAATATGACATATATATTTATCTCACATACATATGCATACATAAGTATACATAGATATGTGCAAATACAGATGTGTATTTATACGCAAACATTTGGAAAGTTTGAAACTCATAATTGATTTTTGTTTAACACAGATTTCTGGGGAACTACTTTAATATTGTGACATTGCCTCACATGATTATCCACATGAACGTTTTTCTCCTACTCAATTTTAATTTTCTCTTATAATCTCCTTTCTTTATCCCTAATATGTAGCTTTTATTCCTACCTCTCTTTTCTATGATTATTTGAAACTATGCAATAATCCATGAGTATTCTTTTTTTCTTAGCTTTTGACTCCTACTCTATAGCAYACACATACAGCATTCTCATTAGTGTAGGATAAAGTATTAAATAGATGTCAAGGTTTGTATTATTGATTTTTCAGACATCTTGAAGAAATTATTCTAAGAACCCAAAAGGGCTCATAAAAATTGTTCTCAGTGATTACTCTTTTATTTTTATGTAAGCAAATTTCTGAATTCTGATTCTACTTGAAATAGGGAGTAAATGTAACATTTAAAAATTGGAAGTTAAAAAGCTTGCTCAGTAATTCCTCAAAAAATTCCACCATTTGACCCAGTTATCCCACTCCTCAGCATATATCCAAAAAAATTTAAATCAGCATGTTATAGAGACATAACCACATCAGCGTTTATAGCATCACAATTCACAATAGCTAAGCTATTGAACAAACCTAGATGCCCATCTACAGATGAATGGATAAATAAATTGTAGTATATACACACAATGGAATATTACTCAGTATTAAATAAGAGTGACTTTATGACATTTGCCAGTAAATGGATAGATCTGGACAATAMCAGGCTAAATGAAATAAGCCAATCCCCAACAATCCAAAGGTTGAAATTTTTGCTGATATGTGGAAGCTAAACCATAATAAAGGGGGAAAGATGAAGGACAGAAGTTCATTAAATTAGACAAAGGGGAATGAAAGGAAAGAGAGATAGGAATAGGATAGGAAGAGAACAGAATAAATCTAACATATTTTTCCTATGAACACATGTGACTATACCTAAGTATACCCCACCATCATGCCCAGGATCCTAATTAGAATACATTWTATCCTATGCTTCTATAATTTTATCAAGATGGATTCTAATGTCATGTATAAATAAGAAGAACCAAAAAAAATTGAAAAAATAAAAGGGAAAAAAAATACTTGGAATGTTACCTTCTGCATTCTCTTCCTCCTCTTTCTTGATGTCACACTGTTCTGGTTCTCTTACTCCCTCTCTGGCTCCTCTGCTSACCACTCACATGAGGTTGCTGCAAAGGATGCTTGCCTAGGTTCTCTTATTTGAATCTGCCTTCACATCACAAGCTACCATGCTTGCCTGCAGTGTAGGGTGATGGCTCCCAAATCTAACATAATGGCCACAATGTCTAGAAGCAAAAGTAGACATCATGAGCAGTTTATTGACATTACATCACAACACAGAATCACATGTATCCCTATCCAGACTTTGTCTACCTTACATATGTCAGTATGAGATAGTCATATCTCATGAAAACCTGCAAGAATATTTGTTGATTATGCTTCAAATTCCATGTCTTGTAAATATCTCTCCTCTTTGGAGGCTCTTCTCTGTGTATTGTGTCATGAAGGAAATACCACCCTCCCAAATGGCAGTCTTGAAACTGTGTGTTGCCCTCAACTCCTCCCTTGYCCTTAGATCCAAGGGCTCAGCACTCACCACACTGTGCCACTTTTACCTCATGAGCATCACATGCACCTGTCACTGTCACCTGTTTTGCATTGTTCAGGTACTGCTTTTTTGCCCCTAAGATACTCCAGCCCCCTCCAACTTCTCCATACATTCACACATCCACTTTGCTTCCCAGTCCTGTCCTTACTCTGAGACTATTTTAAAATATGAATAGTATTTTTTACATCAACTTAATACTAACCAGTTGCTGTATATTGCCCTCATGACAGTCTGTACTTTATATCATAACTTCCAAGTGCTCTGTTACCAGGTGTCATTGTACCAATGTGGTCACCAGCCTCTAAATCAGGGGCTTTCAGACCAGCTGCCTGTTTTATGCAGTGAGCTCTATTGGAGCACTAGAACACATGCTTGATTTTTTATATTGTCTCTGACTGCCTTTGCTACAGAGGCAGAGTCAAGCAGTCCTGGCACAGACGTTAAGGCCCCAGAGCCTGAATCACTTACTCTGTGACCCTTTGAGAAACAGTTTGCCTGTCCCTGCTCTAAATTCTAGACACTCTAAACTTCTCCCAGTTCCTAAATCCACTGTTTTTACTGTCAATGTTGTTGCTTTTCTTTGCCATCTTCCACTTACTTTCTTTTCTATTTTCTATAGTACATACTCTATCACCCCACTCTAAACCTCAGCCTCAAAGCTTCTYAATCAAGGAATTTCCTTTCCATCTTCATTAGATCATGTATCCCTRCTGACTGCTTTAGAGAGTACTACAGTTCCCTTATCAAAGCACTGACCACATTTCATTTTATTGACTTTCCTTGATAGAGCCACGACTATGTCTATTTGAATTACCATCCAATGCCCAATATCAAATCCATTGCCTRGCATGCTATAGGTGGTGAATAAATATATGAAGAATATTTTTTAAATCATATGATTAACCATAATCCCTGGAATTTTATTAGCAGTTTTCACACACAAGTACCTTTGGACAACTTTCACTTTGTTATTTCAAATAACTTAAAGCTACTAAAACCAGTTTCAACTAGAAAGAATAATGTTCTCAGTGTTCTCCTTTATATTCCAAATATTAAGGATGACATTAGCTAGAAAAGAGGAATTTTCAAATAAACATTAACATAGAAAAATGTAAGAAGAGATTAAAATTAGCCCTAGTGTGTTGACCAAACTCTCTCTGCATCTCAGATCTGTTATCTCTGGAAGCTTCTTCAATTCTCTCTGCTACTAAATAGCAGACTGATTTTCTCAGTTTCATCCTAAGACAGTCAGAAAAGACCATAAAAATCCAGGTGCACACAAAGAGGATGAATACATCTCTCAATTCCAATTTCTAATTCTTAGGCAATGGATTTTGTTTAGTCCATCAGAAATTAGCATATGGACTATTTCTGTGGCCTAAGTAATATTTGATACAATACAGCAACTTCAATTTGCTTAAATTGAATTCATGTGTGTGTTTGGGAGAGGAGCCTGAACATGGAAKAATTGTAGCTTTTAGGACAAATCAATAAGTGTTCACCTCAATATATGCTAAACGCTGTTTTTAACAGAATATTTCCTGTTCTGTAATAATAACTCTATAATAAATGAGTATTATGATCCCATTTCACAGATCAGGAAACACTTTTAGATATGTTAAATAAGATGAGATTTGACCCAATTTTTTTGGCACTCCAAGCTATTATATGTACATTGAAGATGTAAATGCAAAGGGATCTCAAAAGAACACCCAGTACAATTTTTGTAGGGAAGAGTTCTTGGAAAAGTGAGTATCGAATATATACTCAAAGTGATATAAATTGGAGTTTAGGAAATAAAACTAAGAATAGAGTTATTTGTGTGGCTGTTGTAAAGTTTTTTCTGATGCTATATTTAATGAGAAACAATAGGGCAAGCTTTAGAGCAAGACTGTACATATATGAGTCTGCTTTTCAGGTCTTCATTTTTGTGGCTATTACTCAAATCCTCTATACCTTAGTTTTTTAATTTGCAAAATGATACCTACCTTATAGAGTTCTTATTACTTTAAATAAGATAATGCCTAGAAAGTATTTATCATATCTCTTAATAAGATATGAACTCTAAATAAGTATTAGTTATCTTTAAAGTTGTAGTAGGAGGTATTAGTAGCTGTATGAGGAATATTATTTAATAAAGGCTGTTTAAAAAGTGTTTTAAAATAGCTGGCATATTTGAGCATAAACCATTTTTGTTAATTTCTAAATGAATTATTGGATTCTGATTAATAGACAATGGCTTCAGTTTCATTCAATTTTAAAACTACTGTGAAAGGAAAACACTGAGAATGTAAATGCATGGAGCAAGATTCCAATCTTTAAGAGGCATGCAGTCATAACTTTGCAGAGGTGACCCTCCACTGGCAGAGGCAGAACAAAGCAGCAGTCCCTACTCAGAATTCTTTTCTTGTCTGAGAGGATTCCAGGCAAGACTGGAGACTTGAGAAAAGAATAGCAAACTTTATTAGAAGGGATGGAAAAAGTGACTTAGGGAGAGAGTGGATCCTTTGAAAGGAAAGGAGGGCCTGATCCTGCTGCCCTCCAGTATTATTGGGGGGTGCCAAGGAGGATTCCAGAGAGTCCCACTCAGGTCCACTTCTAGATTTTTGATTGACAGCAAGACTGCATCAAACTTCTAAGTCCCTACTGTGCATGGAAAAGATCCAGGGCAACTCTAAGTCACTTTGGCCCATGCTGACTAGTTCTAACTGAAATCTGTACTTACAGATTTTATGATTAAGGGAATTATTCTGATCTCCCTGAGTTTTAGCACTCAGGGAGTGAGTGGTCTGTGGATTGGTCACAAAATTGATAGGATAACCTTGTTCTTCTTATTAGCATTTCAAGCCTGGGGATAACAGGTTGTTTGCTTAGCAATGTAATATATCCTAGTGGCTTAATCCAGACAGGGCTGCAGGTAAATTTCTTTTTAAATAAAGCATCCAGAGGTCAGCACAGTGGGGTCACATTATAGAATTCTTCCCTTAAATACATGGTCCGCTGCACACATCTGTCTACTACCTATCAAGAGAGCATGCAAAGTATAAAACATGGATTAATTTTACTATTTTCTTGGATAAGCAGAAATAAGCAGGAGTTAGGATATGAGAAAGAAATAGCAATATGTGGTAGCCTATAGTTAACTGCTAAATTATGATGTATGATCTAAATTATACATATTCTTGAGCAGAAAGTAAACAAACTCCCTTTGGATATTCTAGAAATAATTTGCCAATTTTTTGGAATATAATAGAATTTATTGAAAAATAGGAAAAGAACAAGGACACACTAATAGTAGACTTTCTCTAATTTGCCAAATTTCTAACACCATAGTTCTTTCAAAGTTCCTTCAGGTTTGTGGTTAGTTTCAAAGCCATTTACATTACAAATCCCATTAATCAGAAATACAAAATGACCAAAAGACATAGCTTTCTGGCCTTGATGGAATTTTAAGCAAATTGAAGTTTTATTTTTTACCTTTATAGTCATCTGAGCATTTCTCCATTTTATCGCCTCATCTACACTAAGGAATTTTCTTCCTGAGAGAAATTAATAATGATCAATGTGCACAAAATTGATTTCTTCTTTTCAAGAAACATTGTCATATAGAATGTGTATTAGGAAGGTCTTTGCATGTTTCTGGAGGGAAATGGCTTGGCTGTTTTGTTAACCACAGTTATTGCCACCCACTGTCACAGCATTGCTCCTTTGGGACCAGAACTTAAGAAAGGATGATTGATACTTTTTGAGTTTTCAAGCTCCCAGCCTTGTGGGGAACAGTCATTAGGCYCACTAACCAACAATAATGCTGGCTGTCTAGTCACACATTCTATGTCTCAAATAACTTCAGTCAGGCGCTCTGTGGTGTGTGATTCTCTGTTATCCTCTGGATCATGCTTACAGGGGAACTCATTCCACCGTTTCCCTTATATAAATTATTCCTACTTTGTTTCTATTTTGATTCCATAATTCTCTATTGGTAGTTTCAACATGTCCATAGCATTGCATGACTAAACATCAAAAGGTAGATAATATGTTTAGACTAGCTTAAAATTGAGCACAGCTGAGCATGCAAGGATTAAAAAAAAAATTATCTAAGTAGAGTGGTCACAACAAGAAAAAACCTTCTATGGATAGAGGTCAAAGATGCTTTTGGTTTCCAGTTTTGTGGCAATGAAAGTTCACAAAGTGAAAATTCTAAGCTTATTTCGTGAAGGAAACACACTAGTTAGGGATCTGAAGATAGGCTTCTCCTCAGAAGAGATATGATATTAAGTGCCTTTGCAGAAATCTCTTTACCTCTTTGAATCTATCTCTTCACCTTTAAAATGTTACATATTTTTGATAAGGTTATTTCCAGATTAAGTAAACAAAATAATTTTAGAAATGGCTTGCAAATAAAAGTAGTATTCCAGAAATGGTTTTATTAAAAAATATTTGCAACATTTTGTTTAGCCCTTCTTAAACTTTGCCACCAACTTCTAATTCTGTGAGATCATAATTCACTGTATTAGTCTTTTGATTTAGAGGCTGGTGTTATTTCTAAAATAGCGTAGCATTATGGGAAGAAGTCAAATTTAGCTCTCTCAGTATCTCAGAGTTCAAGTCATGTAAAAACACTTTTTTTTTTTTTTTTGAGATTGAGTTTTGCTAAGTTGCCAACCCTGTCCTCCAGCTTAGAATCCTCTTGCCTCAGCCTCCCTTAGTACCTTTGACTACAGATGTGTGCCACCACACCTGGCTATACTTTCTAAACCTTGCCTCTTTTTGTAAACCAAGAATGTTGCATTGTTGTTGAAGTTCAAACAGTTTGTCTGTTCTGCTTTATTTTCTGAGGTTTTGCATTTGAAGATGTTTTCTATTTATTCGTATTTTATATTGAATATTTGATTATTTTGTTGGATGTATTAACCCACAAAATTATCATTGTTGAGTTTTTTGTGTGTGTTTATGTTGTCTTATGTTTATTCTAAATTTCCAAATCATTTCAAACTGCAGTTATCAAATTAAGGTTTGCAGGACCCTATGGGTTCCAGAGGGTCCATGTTATTTTCATAATGATATTAAATGTTGTTTGCCTTCTTCCTTGTATTGATATTGATACTTGTGCCAACAGTGCAAAAGCAACAGTAAACACCATACCTAAATGTGAATCAAGCCAGTCACTATGAGCACTGGTAGCATTCGTAAGGCCCCAGGTGCAGCAGCTGCATGAGGGCAAAAGCCAATCTTCCTTTAAAATACACACAATTGAAGCACTAAGAATCATTTAGTTTATAAAAGTTTTCCCCTATAAAAAGGGACAATTTTCTGTATTTTATCATTCTATTTGATAAAGCTAAAAGCATTTCAACATCTRAGAATAGCTTGGATGCCTCAAAGAAGAGCACTTATCTGTTGTTTGAATTGRGAGATGAACTAAGTGTTTTTTGCCTTTTTAAAAAATGAAATGTTTACCTGAAATAAACAGCAGAAATTTTCCAAAGTGAATTAGTGAGACTTTTATCTTGAAGAAAACAAGTAAACATATTTGTTGCTAATGACAAAATCCAGGCTTTCAAGCAAAAAAAAAAAAAAAAAAAAAAAAAAAAATATATATATATATATATATATATATATATATATATATCAGAATTTTGGGAAAACTGTGTCCATGAGAGAAAGATGAAAATTTCCCAATACAGACCTAACTGGTGACATCAGTGGTGATATTAATGGATGCAAATTTTCAATATTATATAATGAAATGTGTCATCACTTGGAATTTCTACACAACTTATATTTTCTAAATAATCAATTTATGGTGCTAGAAAATAATGGATGCATAAGAGATTGATTCAAATGCAAGATAGAGGATCAAAATTTTATTTGTGACAACATAGCTTCTTCATATATCAAAACAAAATCTTGCAGTTGTTCAAATGCAGAGAATACTTGTCTGCATTAATCTCCAATTAAGTTAGGAATTAAAGATACAAATATTTAAAACTTGCCACTATTTCACAGTTTGTAAATATAATAACTTCTCATTATAGTCTTACTATATAACGAATTTATTAATATTTTAATGGACATTTAGATTTCTGTTTTAATTTCTAGATGAGAACTGTAAAACCTTCAATATGCAATAGTTTATTTAATAAAACAAAACCTGGATTTCTATAATCTCACCACTTACTGACAAACTATTCTGTTATGGAGATGAGGAAATAGAGGTAACAAGGCTTACAAAGTCATGCATCTAGTAAAAAGGGGGAAAAATATTGCTTCTGCTACCTGTAATTACCTTGTAAAGTTTTGATTTTGATACCTAATATTCTAAAATATATTTTTTCAGAGATTATTGCATTGACCTTAAACCATCTGATAACAACACTGAATTTCTTTTAAATTTCAATGAGTTTATTGATCGAAAAACTCCAAACAACCCATCATGTAAGTATATATTAATTTGCAGTAATTGCTTAAGTGTAGTTTTTTTACCTAGAGTGGTTAAATCATGGTTTATTTTGAACATTATGATAATCGTATTAGTTTATTGGTGTGCTCATTTACTTATATACTCTATGAATTTTTTTATGGTAAAGTTAACTATTTGATCCCTCTCCATTCTTTCCTTTGTCTCCTCCTACTCCCTTCTCTCCCCCTCTCTCTATATCTAAACAAAGCACTTTATCACTTATCAAAGTGAAAACCCCATTTTCTTAAAGCTGTCTCTAAACTTATCACATACAAGCAGAAATGACTTCCTAGTGCCTCCATAGCTCAGATTTGCAAATGACTTCTAGGAACCACTCTAAAAACATATYCTGGGCAGCTGAGGTCACCACTGATCCTACCTTAACAGGATGATTCCAACCCTTTCTTCTCAGTGAAAGCTCACTTTATTGAACCACAGCCTTCTCGTGTTATTTTATGTCATTCCCTATCAACAAGTAATAAGCATGCTCAAAAGAGAACTGAAATAAGGTTGTTTAMTAGTACTTGAATTGAATACCAAAATTAATGTAATACTCTCATGTGAAATGACAAATTTATCATAAATGTTTATCTTAACTTGTAATCTTCAGAATATCATGAAAATTGGAATCACTCTCTTTTTCTACTGCACTACTTAGGGAAGTGCAGATATGTTATTAAAAATGCTTTCTGTATGATCCATAGTGTTTTTGTCTTTTCTTCAGTCTCTTCCTTTTATCTGCCTCCCTTACAACCAAATAGAAAATATTTGAGATAAATAAATATATATATATATATATATATATATATATATATATATAGTGAAGAACAGAAAAAAGTATAGGATTTTTTTAATTGCAGAAAAGAGATCATATTTGTGAACTTATATTTTTTAAATTTTTTTTCTTTTTTTATCAAATAACATTAAACTTGAAAAGTAGATATCAGCCATTGAAATCTGTGATCAAAATAGATTTTGCTTTGTAAAAGTACCTGTACTTGGTCCACTAGTGAAATYACAATTCTTCCTAAAGTCTAAATGAATTTACTAACTTACCTAAATGTTTATTATATAGATTTATTGTTGTCCTCACATCCTTCCTCCTTCTCCTTTAACTATTGTTTATGAGAAACTAAGTGTATAAAAATGTAAAGGGTAATGCTGATAATTTATATATTGTATTTAACCAGCTTCAGAAAACATATTTCAAGACACTTGGGGCACAGTGAAATGATGAGCAAAATTATAAAATTGCTTATAACCTTGATTTATATTACAAATTAGAATAATAGTCTCATTTGTTTTACCTAAAAGGATTGGAGACAATTAAAATACACGATTTAATTTCCAAGTGGGCTATTTTTAAAAGTAATGCAGTTTCTAAAATAATGTAAGAGAGYTCCTAGAATGAGTTGAAATTTAGTCAAAAATATGAATTAAATTGATCCTCCAAATCCCATATGAAAGAAAAATTAAACTAATTAAAATGTTTCCAGCCTATTAAACTTCTTACAGTAATTGGATATTAACTAATACCATACATTACTTATTTGAATAAAATGAGATTGTAAAATAAATGGGAAATTTTAGAGAGGGTATCTTAGATTGTTTCAGAGCTTCATGGGCTTAGAGTAGAGGAGCAAGCAGAACAGGAAGACAGTAACACTGTTTAATTAACCTTCAGTCCTCTGCATCTATTCCCTTCTTTATCTTGAATTTGCGTTGATATGCTCTTTGGGTACAAGGAAAGGACAACCTGCATCCTGTGCTATTGAACCAACACAGTAGGTTCCAGAACCCAGTCTCAGAGGAGAGCTGATCTATGATGGCCATTTTGTTCCTTGCCGTGCTCCAAAACAAAAAAGGATGTTTATTGAATTTTTCATAAAGTCAAATTTATTCCATGATTTTCTTATGTTCCTAATTAAAATACATTTTATTACAAAAATAAATGAAAATGAAAGCAGAAAGTAATTTTTGTTTAATATTTTTATTTGATGATTTCAGAATTACCAATCCTATCAGATATCTGTATATCTAAATCTACACACACAAACACACACACACACACAGTTATGTACAAAAAAATAAGATTTATTAAAATTTTCTATGAACCTTTTTTTTTGTTTGTTTGGAACCACCATGCTAATCTACAKAACCAAACTAAAAGCAAAGAAGGAAGTCTCTTTCCTCATCATTTGTCAACATGGTATATTTTAAGTGTCTCTTTGATTTAAAAAAATATTTTAAGTCAAGATAATGCTGATTTTACAAGTCTTTTTTTTTTTCTTTCGGAATTGGCTTTTCTACTGCTAATTCCAGCCATATCTCAAAAAATATGGCAAAATTAATATGGAATATCATTTTTAAATTCATGGAAATATTCAGTCTAAATTGCTTTTGAAAACAGAAAATACATTTGTTTTAGTGTTGTACTCGTTAAAAAAACAATGTGGGTATAATTGAATATATCATTTTTCTATTAGGTAATACAGATTTGATTAATAGAGTCTTACTGGATGCAGGCTTTACAAATGAACTTGTCCAAAATTACTGGAGCAAGCAGAAAAATATGTAAGTATTTGTTTTTATTAATTTTGCTTCTTCCTTTGAATATTTTGGACAATAGTTCTCAAAAAATTCAAGTTTATTTTTTGTCCTTAATAATAATTTCTTAAGAAAAGCATTTTACAACTGTTGACAACCTGCTTTCTCAGGTGGGTGTATTYCAGTATTAATATCTGCTATTACTCAGCTTTATACTACAGTGTGAATAATCAAATTAATTGGCATGTTTGTATGCTTCTGTGTTTTTAGTGAAACAGGATTGCTAGTGAATATTTAGTTGGCTTTCTAATAGTGTCTCCCATATATCCAGTCTAGAAAATGAGAAATCTGATTAAGATTCTCATTCATAATCTCCCCACCCTATTTCTACTCAATTGCTAAATGCTGACTCTTTCTAACAAAGTTTTCCTCTTTTCCTCATAAAAATGGGATCTTAGGACCTTAAGAAATTTCAGCAACTGATTTTTCTGTGTTTCATGCTCCCCATGCCTCCAACCACAGCTCCCAGTCTATTCTTCATACAATACACACATGCCAGAATCATAYTTCGAAAACGGAGTTCTAATTTGAAGATAATGATGGAGTTCTCTAGCTTGGACTTCARAGTTATTCATGAGCTCATCATTCCTTAGAATGAGATGACTTCTTTAAACATACCCCTTTAAGTACTTACTTCAGAGATTCTTCAATTATTATGTTTCAATTATTGAAACATAGTTTTGCAACTATGTTTACCTTGACTTCTTTTAAGAACTTGCTTTATTTCTTTTTGTGTCACCCACACCTAACATAATATCTTTGATTAAATYTAATAAAACATTTCCTTCTTTTAATCTTCTGTTCCAGCAAGGGAGTGAAAGCTCGGTTTGTTGTGACTGATGGTGGGATTACCAGAGTTTATCCCAAAGAGTAAGTTCAAATAACATCTGTAAAAATAAGTACCTTACAAAGGATTGTGCCAAGACTATATAAGGAAGCCTTCTTGAGAGCAACTGATCATTTTCGTAGATCAAATTAGAGTCATTGTTTAATGTGCTTATATTATTATAGTATCCCATTTATTTGAAAAAAGATATCATAGGATCCTTCAATGGTACTGTTGCTGGTCATATGTATTTATTACAAAATTCATTAGCGGTTGAAGGAGACTTTTTGTAGACACAAGCCCAACTATGAAGCGAACAAATGATGATAACTTGTCAGCAACAGTGGTGTAGCTTTTCAATGTTTCATTTTTCTTTAATGCATTCAATTTCTGTTTATCTTAAGAGTCGTTCCTTCAGTACCCTGAGTAGTCACCAAGGCTATTAATATTAATTAACTTATTAACTGACTTATCCGTAATTTCATACAAGCAAATAGCAGGCTAMAATTAGGATTCAGCTTTTTCTGATTCTTCATATAATGACATGCTGATATATTGCTTGTAATGAGTATCCATTACATTATCCACTAACTTCCCTATACACACCTAARGGATAGATGTATGTATAAAGTTCAGTATTTCCACAAAGGGAGAGTAGGTTATCTGGGACTTTAAAGAGTACAAATGATGAGCCATTTCCTCCTTAGGGCTGGAGAAAATTGGCAAGAAAATCCTGAGACATATGAGGACAGCTTCTACAAAAGGAGCCTTGATAATGATAACTATGTTTTCACTGCTCCCTACTTTAACAGTAAGTATTGCTTTGGAACTCASTTTTCTCAATTATGTTTTTTAAAGCAAATTATTGTTACTACCTTCTCTTCCCCAGTCAATATATTTTATGTTAACTGCTCAGAATAGTCATTATTAAGCCACAGCATATGCAAAGCATTAGGAAAATAGAAAAGAAACATCCWTTTAGTTTAAGAGGTAAAATGCATGCATAGCAAAGTAATGTAGAATAGCATATCTAGCAGGCAGCTTAATAAATAGAAACATATGTAGTTCATCCTTCATGTCAGAGCTGAAAATATGTGAAAGAATGTTTAATGAATTAAATAGTTGATTAATTGCATTTTATCAGTATTAATTACATAAGGTAGCATTTATAAAAATAATAGCTCATCTTTTAAACTATTTTATCAGGTTCTTTAAAAAAAAAAGACTTTCTAATTTAATTCTCCTGAGCTCTGTCTGAGCATAGGTATTTTTTACTCCTGTTTTTACAAGTGTCAAAAYTGAAGTTTAGAGAATTTCAGTTCGGTCCAAGGGTTTTTAAAAGGCAAAGTAGTGTTATGAATCCAAAGTCATTCTTTCTACTCCAATTTAGCAGCCTACCCAATATTTTTGCAGATGTCATAAAGCAGAGATTTGGTGTTCATCTTTTTTTTCAGTTTTATTTATTTATTTATTATAATTGATTTTATTTTTTTTAAATACATGACAGCAGAATACATTACAATTATTATTATTCATATACAGCACAATTTTTCATATATTTGTATATAAAGTATGTTCATGCCAGTTCATGTCTTTATGCATGTACTTTGGGTTTTTTATTTTTTAATTTTTGCATTACAATTTTTATTGCACATATATACCACAAGTTTTCATATCTCTGTTTGTATCTAAAGTATGTTGACACCCAATTCCTGTCTTCATACACATACGTTAGATAATGATGTCCATCACATTCCACCATCCTTGCTGATCCCCCCTGCCCCTTCCCTTTCCCTCCCACCCCTCTTCCCTATCTAGAATTAATCTATTCCCCCCATGCTCYCCCTCCCTACCTCACTATGAGTCAGCCTACTTATATCAGAGAAAACATTTGGCATTTGTTTTTTTGGTATTGGCTAACTTCACTTAGCATTATCTTCTCCAACACCTCCCATTTACCTGCAAATTCCATGATTTTATTCTCTTTTATTGCTGAGTAAAATTCCATTGTGTATATATGCCATATATTTTTTATCCATCCATCCATCTAGGTTGGCTCCACCATATAGCTATTGTGAATTGTGCTGCTATAAACATTGATGTGACTGTGTTTGTGTTCATCTTTTACACTGTGAAATAAGATAAAATCAAATTGAGTAATTCATGCTCCTAAATCAATAGATGTCAATTCATGGACTTCCAGTTAACCCAGTATATAAAGGAAGATGAGAGAAAGAAGAGATGACATGACTCTTATAGATTTTATATGCAAGATTTTTTTTTCTTTTTAGCACCTGTGGTTGAACTCAGGGATGCTCAACCACTGARCCACATCTCCAGTCCTTTTTTTATTTTTAATTTTGAGACAGGGTCTCCCTAAGTTGTTTAGGACTTTATTATATTGTGGACACTAGCTTTGAAATTGTGATCCATCTGCCTTAGCCTCCTGGGGCTGCTGGGATTACAGGTGTGTGCCACCATGCTTGGCTATATGCTGGAATTTTTAAGAAAAACACTATATTGTATCCATTGAAGAAATTGAAATCCATTGAAGAAATCAGTTTTATGATTTATCTAGATTGGTCTGATTTTTATTTTTTAGAAAGTGGACCAGGTGCATATGAATCAGGCATTATGGTAAGCAAAGCTGTGGAAATCTCTATCCAAGGAAAACTTCTTAAACCTGCGGGTAAGCATATAAGTACATATAAACATGACCAGAATTAAAAACATATAGTTAAATATAAAATTGGAGATAAAATTAACTTGATAGTATACAAAGTTGAAGAATTTTCAAAGTGGATATGTTAATATACTTAAGTTTATGCAATCACTTTAGTGTAATGTATCACATTTAGTGTGATATATCGGAATTTCAAATACAAAATATTAAATCTAGAATTGATCTTGTGGCCCTATCATGCTCTCCTACTTTCAATACACACAATATTATGTGGCCAAGGTTGTAAATATTTTTAATAATTTAAACTTAAATCATTAGGTTTGTATCACTGGGGGAAAAGATACATCATAGGAAACCTATACCCTAGATTACTATATATCTGAAAAAGAAAGATAGGGCTCTATTGCATGTACAATAAAATATGGAAAATGACTTTTGGTAAAATAATTGAACAAAGAAAAACATTGTAAAACTTAGGATCAATGAGAATTGGAAGTGGACAAATGCAATACTATCTTTTAAATTTTTTCACTATGGGATTCAGTATTGTTTGAAGTTTAGAAAGAACATATATTAAAATTGGGTCAGATGGAAGTAGGGAGATTGTTTTGATGTTACTGAGGGTGATTCTACTTCATGAATTCACTCCTTCCCACATTCTCTCATTCACTTCTTCCTTCCTTAACTCCATCAGTTATTCTCTTAGCAACTGGTTCACTTGCCCATGTGCTCACTCATCTACCCACTCTATCAATAAGTATTTCCTAAGCACCAATCACATGTACTGAGAGGATTAGGGCAGCCTCTTAAAATATACTGCTTGAATGACTTCATGTTGATGAAGTTATCCCTGACACTCCTTTTTTTAGCTTATAGTATTAATTAATTGGCCAGATTCTGGTTGTCAAATAAAACTGTTTTATGAATATTAATTACAGTTTGTGGAATAGTTTGAGAGCTATTTACATTATTTATTAATGAAGACGCTAAGAAATACATCTTTATAAGAATATTATATTTCAAACCATAATTTATTTGCTATTGTATAAAATATCAAAAGTGCTAGTATACCTAATTATCACTTTAAATTAATTAAAATTATTTTTTCAGTTGTTGGAATCAAAATTGATGTAAATTCTTGGATAGAGAATTTCACCAAAACCTCAATCAGGGATCCGGTAAGATAATTTTTTAAAAAAATTTTTATGTTATACTTAATATTGTAAAAATTCAACCTAGAAAAAATACCATTATACAATGACAAAATATTTTTTAGTGACACTATATTAAAATAGAAATATTTATTCCTATTTTTTGAAGCTTTTTGGTTAAATTAATAAATAAAAAGATAGTTCAAATTTATGACTTGAAATGGTACTATATATTTTGATTGATATTTCTTATGCTAAAACTTTCTCTTATGAACTAGACTATTATTTTTCTAGATAAATCATTCCAAAACTCTAATAATAACAATCATAATTAATACTAATTAATGTTACTTAATATATTTGAAATCAACTTTTTCAAAAAGTATGAAATGATAATTGTATCTCTGTCTTTCAGTGTGCTGGTCCAGTTTGTGACTGCAAAAGAAACAGTGATGTAAGAAAACTCTTTAAAAATATATTTAACTACAGCAGGTTATTGTGTTACTCTTGCTCACTGAGACTTTAAAGATAAAAAGGGGTATATGAATTTTTAATCTTATGCTAAAAAGATTCTGTGGAAATGTGAAATAGGTATGAATGGAAATAGGTATGAATTTGAATTTATGTGCTTTCRATTCCTAATTTTATTTTATATTTTTCTTATTTGGCAGTGCTGAGTATTAAAGCCAGGGCCTTATATATGCTAGGCAAGTGCCCTATCACTGAGAGAGAAGAACTAATTTCTAGCCATAAATGCCTTTAAAAATATTCATGTAGTATGGTTAGATTAAAAAAAATATTAGATTCTTTTTCCATACTTGTCTTTAGCTGTATTTCTGGATGGGTAATTTCCAACCAAAGCAATCTTTTGGTTCCCAATGTAGTCTTCACTCATCTTCTGCACTTTCTTTTTATTTGTTCACACTGTTATATAGTAATGGAAAACATTTTTTAACTAAACTTAAAAATAATTATATAGTTTATAGTTACATAGTTTATTTCAAAATTTTGTTTACAAGTATTGGATTATTTTGTATTACTCCCATTTCTTTTTGAGAAATTAAAAAAGAAAATGTGGATTAACTGTTCAAAAATTGAAGAGGCTGCAAATATAATACTTGATAATGGCAAGGATTATAAAGGATGACAAATCCCACAATTTTCTTCTGTCTTTTTATGTGAAATGTCCAAGAGAAACAGGGGTATCATTTCTACATCTGCAATATTATAAGCCAGTAATTTTAATTGTTTTTCTAGCTTTCTCATTTTTTAGACTATTTAGCAGGTGTTTTTAAAGCAAAGGTTTAACAAGGTACTTCCACATTAGGGAAATGTATTATGTTCCCAAATGGTAAGCAATGTGTTTTTATTTATTAAAAGTTATTGATTTTCTCTGGGCCCAGTGATGCAAGCCTATAATCCTAGTGGTGCTGGAAGGTAAGGTAGGAGGATCACAAGTTCAAAGCCAGCCTCAGAAACTTAGCAAGACCCTGTTTCCAAATAAAAAATGGCAAGGTCTGGGGATATTTCTCAGTGGTTAAGCATCTCTGAATTCAGTCCTTATATATTTAAAAAATTTAAAAAAATACAAAATACAAAAATATGCAATATAAACACACACACACACACACACACACACACACACACACACATTTTCTTATTTTTAAACTGGGTGGTAACTTTTCCTACATTTAAGGGTGAACTTTTTTTAACTCAGCCATAAGCATTTTGTTTTCATCTTTTAATCTATAATTATCCAACCAAACATTTTTAATACAAAAATATAAAATAGTTATAATCCCTTGGTTGATTTTTCCTTTTTAATCTGTGAAGTATATTTATGTTTTTTGTCAGTTTTTTCAGTTTGCTGTGACCAAAAACTTTTCTGACAAGAAAAGTTAGAGAAGGAAAAAGTTTATTTAGGGTTCACAGCTTCAGAGGTCTCAATCCATGGACAGTTTGCTCCATTCCTTGAGGCCTGAGATTAGGCCGAACATTATTTCAGAAGAGTGGGGTGAAGGAATGTGGCTCAGGATATCACACCAGGAAGCAGACAGTGAGCTTTCCTCACCACAGACAAAATATAAACCCCAAAGGCATGGCCCAATCCACCCAGTTCCTCCAGCCACACTACCTGCTTAAAATTACCAAATTAATCCCTATTGGGAGATTAATGCACTGATTAAGACTCTCATAATGCAATCATTGCACCTCAAAACTTTCTTTTACTGTTTCACACATAAATTTTAGGGGGAAACCTAATAGCTAAATTGTAACAGGAACTGGTTTATAAATATTTTTTCTTCTCATAATACTAAATATATATTTAAAATGATGAAATAGTGACATATCATCAAATATTTTTGTCCAATTTCCTGGATCATTTATATGACTTATGTGATAAAGATTAATTGGATATTTGGTGGGATGGATATCAAGCCCTTGTGATTTAATATCAATATATGCTTTCCTATAATTTTATCAGAGTTTTCTATACMTATATGCTAAAGAAAAATAGTTGATTTTTCCCTATTTTTGTTGTTCTGATCATTAAGAAATAATGGAATAATGATAGTGCAGTCTTTAACTCTTCCTATAGTGTGTTGACTATATTTTTATTTTGATAGGTAATGGATTGTGTGATTCTAGATGATGGTGGGTTTCTTTTGATGGCAAATCATGATGAATATACTAATCAGGTATGTAACTCAAGAAGGAGGTATGTACGGGTTTCTAATGCATATTTTGGTGATCAACATTACAGAACCACTACAAACAGTGTATATAAATTTATACATTATTTTATTCATGCCACATAAATTTTCAAGTGATTAATATAATGTAAACTATAATACATACATGCTAAATGTAGCTTTTCTTTGTTTTCTAATCACTTTTACTTTTTGTCACCAATAGTTATTAAAGACTTTAACATGATATGGACTTATTTTCAACTTTAAAAATTTAAAAAGTTATTGCATATTAAATATTTATCAGTTGATAGCATCTACCTTAATATGTGACTAGTTGAACACTATTTTCTAGTTTCAAATTTACAAATTGGCGTCATATAGGCTATTAGGCTCTCACCCAAGAAATTCTCATTTTGAATCTGTGTTTCTTGTGTGCAAGCACTCTCTCTCTCTCTCTCTCTCTCTCTCTCTCCATATCAAAAGATATCTCTACACTGGACTATTTATTGAATAACAGTTGTTTCTTTGTTAGACCTAAATAGCTAAAGATTGTCCCTTTAGGTCTTACCACATCTCTTTTATATGCTACTTATCATTTCCTGGAAGGCATTTGCTTTGTGTTTCATTGTATTTATTTAACATATACAACAAGATGCTTTGATACATGATTATTACTACAGTCAATTCAATTAACAATCTGACATAATTATCCTTTTTGGGAGGTGGGAAGAACACCTAAAATCACATTTCTAGTATATAACACAATATTATTAACTGCAGTCTTCGCTTGCACATTAAATCTCTAGGCCTTTTTAACCTGTGTAACTGCAACTCTGAGCCATCTGACCCACATCTCCTGGTTTCCCATGACCAATGCCATTTTACTAACCTAGGATGCATTTTACTGTGACATTGATGTGTAATAATCTGTGCCCATTTGATCCACAAATAAAATAAACTGAATAATGAGAATACTTAATCTCATTTTGGTTCTTTTCACATTGCCACATGCAGGTTTCTCATTTGCTCTTGTTTCTAAGCCCTTGTTTTGGTTCACAATTTCTTAGTTGTATTTCTTTTCACTGTATTGATTCAGCTGTTCATGGTTGGCTTAAATTTGAAACTTTGTTATTTTTTTTCTTTATCAGATTGGACGATTTTTTGGAGAGATTGATCCAAGTTTGATGAGACACCTGGTTAATATATCAGTTTATGCTTTTAACAAATCTTACGATTATCAGTCAGTATGTGAGCCCGGTGCTGCACCAAAGCAGGGAGCAGGACATCGCTCCGCATATGTGGTCAGTATCATCCATGGGTGAATTAATTTAATGGGACATTCAAGCATAGATCAGCATAATGACATTTTTATTATTTTTATAGCCATCAATAGCAGACATATTACAAATTGGCTGGTGGGCCACTGCTGCTGCCTGGTAAGTCAGATTTTTAGTTTTATTAGTAAAGAAAAAAAGTTGTTTTAAAATAGTAAAATATTTGATGAAATTATGAATTTTGTGACAGGTAAATTATAGTAATTTTCATTTCCCATAATACATACTGAAAATATTTATAAAGAGTTGTTCTTAAATGATCATAAGAAATTCACAATTAATTTCTTTACATGAAAACAATGTTATGATCGGTGAAACCTCACCTTCTCTAGACTTTTTTCTCTGTGATTCTGAATTCAGCATATTTTCCTTCTTTTATACTTACTATGAAAGTTATTATTTATTTTCTTTAACATCCAAATTAGATATCTACATTGATCCAATGTGTAACATGATGACACTTTTCTACTCTTTTACTATTATTACAGAAATTGACAGTTTTAAAGTCATCATGTTGCTGAAATGAATTCAGTTTTCTTCCCACTGATTCATTTCTCCTACCTCCCACTCCCACCTCTGTCCTGTTACCTATGGAAAAGAGTTGTTTAAACTGTCTATGGAGACACTGTGGGAAATCTGGAAAGTCACATTTCTTGTTCTTTTTTCCTAACCAGACAGTCACTGAACTACGTCTTGTGTCTAGGACTTATTATTTCCTCCTCCCTTTTTTTCTTTTTTTTTTTAACTTTTTAAAAAATTTTTATATTGTCACCCTACTATATTTTCTTTTCCTTATTCCATGTAGATGAATCTGTACAATTCATTTGATATTGAGGTTTTTCCAGTTAAAATTAAATGATCATATCATTCTATTAAAGTGGTAAAGGATATTTTAGATAAAAACACTCCTTTTTTCCCCAAGAATGATATTTCTGGGTATGTTGATAATATTTGTATAGTAAGAATGTTTTCTATATCTTGTAGTGATCCAAAATACTTTATCATATTTTTTGGCTCAAGTCTACCCTGCCTTTTCTAAATGATTCTGTTCCAGATGATTCTRTACAAGATTTGGATCAATTGTCTTTTATAATGAAGCTGAAATGTGCCATATGCTCTTTGTATAATTTATATACAAATTATTTCATGAATGTCACATTATATATCACAAATATATTCTTTATCACAAATAGCTCACAAGCCCAATTCTGTGGAATAAACAAGGTCATTTTTGTTTCAACATTGTTTTAAAAGCCAAACAGAAAATCCTGTACATAAAAACCTGAAATACTGACATTCTTCTTGTTCGAGTTACCAGTCCTGTATGATAGTACTGCATATTCAGCTCCTTTCACACATTTATGTCTCAAACTTGGCTTCAGACACCTCTGTCTTCATGACTTCATGATTTTTAAAAGTTTCAGTATTTTATATAATCTAAGATATACTTATATGAGAATGCTCCCATCCTTTTTCAATGAACAAACTCTAAAATTTTCTCAAATCAATAAGAAGGAAATATGTACTTACGTGCATGTATACTTGCAAAAAATACTCGTATTTTATTATAAAATTTATTGTAATTATTCATTTTAAAAATCCAGGTCTATTCTCCAGCAGTTTCTCTTGAGTTTGACTTTCCCACGGCTCCTGGAGGCAGGTATGTAAATGGTCAGATATTAACAACTATCAAAATTTCTTTTTAGATGTGCTGAGTTCAGTAAGCTCAAAGAGAAAATGTTTGTTTGTGAGAAAAAGATCATCCATTTGACATTTTGGCAGATTGAAGTTTTCATCAACAATTCCCTAGTTCACGTTGGCCTCTATTTGGCAATACATTTATTTTATGGATACTTATTGGGTACCTTTTACAGGCTGTGAGGATAAACAGGTCAATTGAAGCTTGTAGCCTTCCACATTAATTTTGCCCTGTGAGAAATGACTCTGGGGACTGACTAGTGTCCCCTCATGGTGGTTATCTTTTTTCTTTTTTTAAATATTTTTCATTAGAGTTTTATTGTTATACATAGTAGTTGGGTTCATCCTGACAAATATGATCTTTGTTTTGATTCCCACAGTTGAGATGGAGGATGACGACTTTACCGCCTCCCTATCAAAGCAGAGCTGCATAACAGAACAAACCCAGTATTTCTTTGATAACGACAGTAAATCATTCAGTGGTGTATTGGATTGTGGAAACTGTTCCAGGTATTTTGTTCCTTGATTTCACTAAGAAATTGCATTCACTTTCATAATCATTACAGAAAAGAATGGACTGTCATTGGAGTTAGACGTGTCATTGTTTTAAACTGAAATGTCAGTCGTTATAAGCTTCAAAATTTATAAAAAATTGTGGATGTGTAACCGACGTGATTCTGCAATCTGCATTTGGGGTAAAATTRGGAGTTCATAACCCACTTCAATCTAATGTATGAAATATGATATGTCAAGAGCTTTGTAATGTTGTGAACAACCAATAAAAAAAATAAAATTAAAAAAAATTCTAAATATTACAAGTTGTAATTACATGATTAGGATAATTGGCTTTATTGTAGGCAGAACAGAAAATTTTAAATTTCATTTAAAAAAATCCATATTTAAAATCTTCTAACATAGAGAAAGTTAAAGAATTATATTAACTCTAATATAATTAACTTAAATTATATCAGTAGTTATAAGCCAAACATGGTTTCTTTTCACATAAGGTAACTAAACAGGTTTTCAAAACCATAGTCTGGGGTTTTTCTTTGCTTTGTTTTTACCTCTGGTTATATCTGACATGAAGAATCGAATATTATCTTTGACTTGAAACTGAAGGAAATAGGGATAAAATATCATTTCATAAGGTCATGGTTAATGTTAGTATTTATAAAACATCTTTAAAATCTTTTGGAAGAGATGGAAAATGTAATTGGTTATAATGGGAAAGAGAAGAAGGCAAGAGGAAGACTTTAGAAGGTTTGAGGGGAAAGTGATAATCCATGCCACAGGATTCCTGAGAACTCAGCAGCAAGTCACAGCTTTCATAGCACAGTGTTGGGACACTTTACTTTTAGAGACAGATTGCAAGTTACTACAGAAGAAATGTTAACAGAGGGTAGAGAAATATGAGGAGGTAAGGTAATCTGAGATCATGTAAAGGCTGAAATAGTTAGTTGCTAGGGGATTTGGAAAGGCAGTCTATAACAGTTGAAGTATTTTTTTTTCTTTTAAAGAAGGGGTTATCATGAATTTTAATAAACATGGTTAGTGTGTTTTATGACTTAATTTTGAAAACGACTATGTCCAAGAAGGAGGTAGAGGGTATGAATAGGAGAGGAATAGGGAGAAGTCAAACATGAAATAAAAAAAGCAGATCAACTTGTTTGGAGCACTGTAAGCCATTAACTACAAGGAAATGGACTTGTAGCAAGTGACATGTAGACATCAGAGTTTAGGGTCCTTGGACTTGTCATTAACTGATTAACTGAGGTCCAATAATAACAATGCATACCTCACAAACTAAGTTAATCCATAAGGT